ACTGTGGGACCTTATATAGACAGGTGTGTGCCTTTCCAGATCATGTCCAATCAATTGAATTTACCACAGGTGGACTCCAATCAGGTTGTAGAAAATCTCAAGGATGATCAATGGAAACAGGATGCACCTGAGCTCAATTTCGAGTCTCATAGCAAGGGTCAGAATACTTATGCAAATAACACATTTCTTTTTTTCAAATGTAAAAATAAATTTGCAAAATTCCAAATAAACTGTTTTTGCTTCGTCATTATGCAGTATTGTGTGTAGATTGATGAGAATTGTTATTTATTTAATTAATTTTAGAATAAGGCTGTAATGTAACAAAATGTGGAAAAAGGGAAGGGGCCTGAATACTTTCCGAATGCACTGTAGGTATAGATGCCGCGTTCAAAATAACTGGGAACTCTGAAAAAAACTAGCTGGGAAAATCGTTTTTGAACGGTCATCCAACTCGGTATTGTCACGCTCGTCTAAGGAGGGAGAGGACCAAGGCGCAGCGTTGAAAGCAAACATATTTATTATATGAATGATCACACGATCAAAACAACGAAACGTGACGTCCTTGGTTACATAAACAAACCAACACGGAACAAGAAACCACAACACAAAGTGAAAAGACCGATAGTTAAATATGGCTCCCAATCAGAGACAACCAGCTGACACTCGTTGCCTCTGATTGGGAGTCACTCAGGCCAACATAGATATACAAACATAGACTTACACAACCTGGCTCAACATAACATAGTCCCCAGAGCCAGGGCGTGACAGTACCCCCCCCCAAAGGCGCGGACTCCGACCGCGCCAAACAACCACAACAGGGGAGGGACCGGGTGGGCACTCCGCCTCGGCGGCGGATCCGGCTCCGGACATGACCCAGGCACGGGTTGTGCTGGACTGACGACGCGCACCCCTGGCTTGGTGCGTGGAGGAGGAACGGGCCTTACCAGGCTGACGACGCCCACCGTAGGCTTGGTGCGTGGAGCAGGGACCGGCCGGACTGGGCTGACGAAGCACACCACTGACTTGGTGCGGGGAGCAGGAACGGGCCGGACCGGGCTGACGAAGCGCACCCCTGACTTGGTGCGGGGAGCAGGAAAGAGCCGGACCGGGCTGACGACGCGCACCACAGACTTGATGCGGGGAGCTTGGATGGGCCGGACTGGGCTGGCGACGCGCACCACCGACTTGGTGCGGAGAGCAGGAACGGGCCGGACAGGGCTGACGAAACGCACCACAGACTTGGTGCGGGGAGCAGGAATGAGCCGAACCGGGCTGACGACGCGCACCACAGACTTGATGCGGGGAGCTTGGATGGGCCGGACTGGGCTGGCGACGCGCACCACCGACTTGGTGCGGAGAGCAGGAACGGGCCGGACAGGGCTGACGAAACGCACCACAGACTTGGTGCGGGGAGCAGGAATGAGCCGAACCGGGCTGACGACGCGCACCACTGACTTGGTGCGGGGAGCTTGGATGGGCCGGACTGGGCTGGCGACGCGCACCACCGACTTGGTGCGGGGAGCAGGAACGGGCCGCGCCGGGCTGACGACACGCACCACAGGCTCGATGCGAGGAACAGGAACAGGCCGGACCGTACTGGGGACACACACCACTGGCCCTACGCAGGGATCAGGAACGGGCCGGACCGGACTGGTAACACACCCCAGTACCTCTCGCCGTGCCTCCACACTTTCCCTCTCCTCTGTGACCAGTGGCCCCCTTAACCTGGCGGCCTTCTCTGCCAACCCTCTGCACCACTCTATCCCGTACTCCTGCTGCCCCGTCGTCCACGGCGTGAGCCCCCCCCTAAAAATTTTCTGGGCTTGTCTCTCCCCCGTGGACCAGGCCTCCATGGTTCTCGTCCAATTCTCTCTCCACTTCTCGTAATTCCAGCCTTTCTCCTCGTCACGCTGCTTGGTCTGGTTTTGGTGGTTTCTTCTGTCACGCTCGTCTAAGGAGGGAGAGGACCAAGGTGCAGCGTTGAAAGCAAACATATTTATTATATGAATGATCACACGATCAAAACAACGAAACGTGACGTCCTTGGTTACATAAACAAACCAACACGGAACAAGAAACCACAACACAAAGTGAAAAGACCGATAGTTAAATATGGCTCCCAATCAGAGACAACCAGCTGACACTCGTTGCCTCTGATTGGGAGTCACTCAGGCCAACATAGATATACAAACATAGACTTACACACCCTGGCTCAACATAACATAGTCCCCAGAGCCAGGGCGTGACAGGTATTCTAAGTCGGAAACTCAGGTATCTTTCTAGAATTCTGACTTTCCGACCTGAACATCACCGACTTCATTATCTGACCTTGTTTTTTGACCTCGATTTCCCAGTGGTCTTGAAAGCACCATCATATATTAGATGTATGACAAACAAATCAACCACCTTCCAGTGGTTATAGTCATAAATAGCATACTGTAAATATTCACAGGGAAAGTGTTAACATCAGCCCTAAGTAATGTCTAAACTTACAAATATGATTAAAACACTTGAACCTGGCAAAGTATCTTTAAATCTAAACCAAGTGAGAGACAGTTTGAAAGATGTTTCCACTGTGGCTGGTTTCCAGGATTCCTTGCCTTGCAGCCTTTAGGGTGGTTCAGGAACAGGCAGGGACCCCTCCTTCCTTTGTGCATGCAGTCTGCAGAACTAGGCTAAAGGTCCCAAAACAGATGTGTTTCCCTGGCTTGCCAAGTTTGTCATTATCTGCCAGAGCAGTACATTCTCTCAGTAAACATTTTCTCAGTGTCCTGTCCTCCTTAACAAGGAAACAAACACACATGGCATGCATAGCACAATGTACCCTCAGACTTACAACATTCAACAGACTTAACGTATTGCATCGCATTCACTGATGATGAAATTAAAACGTGGATCTCCAAGTTCACTCCATGTAAGTAAAAGTATACTAATAATTGGTAGTGCAATTCCTTGTGTGGCTACTGTGATTTGTGCCAAAGCTTCACTAGAAATATGCAAAAACCTGACAAGAATAACGTGTGGTCAGGGTCAGTGCAGTTAATTTTCAATGTGCAGTTAGGCAGCACTGAATGCTGACAAAGCAGAATAACTCTGACAAAGGAGAGAAGAGAGCACTGTCTAGACTCAGCAGAATGACAGGTGCCTGCCAAGTGGCCATTGTCTTCAGCCACACCACGGTTATCCAGATACTTTCTCCCTCACTGAATCTTTGCCGTTTGAAATACAGATATGAAGTTCATTTTCACTCTAATAGGTATCAATTTAAGTCTGTTCTGTGCCATCATGAGTATTCAGTATGCATCAATGTTATTTCTATTGTTAAAAGCACATGAAATACACATTTTCCTACAGTAAGTTATTAGGCTAATTTCATTCAGTCTAGTGAAACTAGTCAATTCAAGATGTCCTAAAATATCTGACCAGTCGAGTGAAGAAGACAGGAGGGAAATTATATACCCTTACTTTCACCATGTTGTTGATTGATCCAAGGTTATGCTCCTGATTAGCCTCCCGAGTGGCGCAGTGGTCTAAGGCACTACATCGCAGTGCTAGCTGTGCCACTAGAGATCCTGGTTCGAATCCAGGCTCTGTCGATGCCGGCCGCGACCGGAAGACCCATGGGGCGGCGCACAATTGGCCCAGGGTAGGGGAAGGAATGGCCGGCAGGGATGTAGAGCATGGCGTTTGCAACGCCAGGGTTGTGGGTTCGATTCCCACGGGGGTATAAAAAATAATGTATGCACTCACTAACTGTAAGTTGCTCTGGATAAGAGCGTCTGCTAAATGACATAAATGTAATTAAAGTCTAAATTGAGAAGCACATGTCCCCTCAGTGTTGATCTGACAAGGTTACCTTTACAGCGAAGTCCTACAAAATATTACCTAAATTAATCTCTGTGCTTCTGCTTTGCCTGATCTTTGGGGGTCTAGGCCAGGTTACAGTAAAGCAATGGGACAATGGATGTTTAAGGGGCAGTTGCTACAGCTATTTTTGGACATAATATGTACCCATTGATTATTTAATAACTTATAAATGCCTCATGAGATTAGTTCAACTGTCGTACCCCATCAGAACCCAAACAAAGAAAATATAAACACTATATCACCTCAAAACATGGGTAAAACTATTATTTTGATATAATGGATGGCCAGTTATTGCATCCATAGCTCAGTCTATGAATTTGAGAGTAGTTACATTTCTCCAGCCCCATACCGCAACTTTTTACCGAACCAGGGGTGGGGACTACGCTCTGGTGTCATTTCTACTGCTGATTACGGCTTTAAAAAAGGGCTTTATAAAATACATTTGATTGAGTGTAAACGTTTACATCTAAAAATCATACACTATTAAAGTCAAACAAGACAGATTATGGTAAAATTAGATCATTTTTTAATGTTACAAAAAAGAAGACCGGTTCTGTCACTTGCAATATAACAGAAACAAGTTCCATAGCTGGCCATTATAACAGTATACAAATCCTTAACTGCATACAACTTCTACTAATGATAGACTATGGGGATCCACATCTATAAAAACACACATGCAACTTGGACCCTTTTAGAATACGGACCCCACACACACACACACACCTTACATATTCATACATCTAGAGCATCTTGGTTAGTAAATCATGTTAAACAATTATGAGTAGCAAAATTATACACATAAAAACTAGAAATAGACCTATACATAAAAAATATTTCACCCTCCTCGACAGACATCTGTCTGGAATCGTTTAGTCCATAGCATCAATTAAAGGGCAATGTAGGCAGTGATCAAAACGTAGGGGACTACTCTACCCTTAACACACACTGCAGAATGTGCCGAAGATTCTCCCATTAAAAAGGGTTAAAAAGCAAGCCATGCATGGATGGTCAACACTTGCAATATGCAAGGGGTTTACAAAGCCACAGACAAAATAGTACTTGGAATGACACTTGAGATGTAGCTCAATAGGAAAGGAGGGGGATTATTTCAGTCCAAAGGAGTATCTAGTTCATTTGCTGTATTCTTTAGGCTCCTCCCCCTCTTCGCTGAGCAAACATGTGCGTATCAGAGCTTCCGTGACTGCATACGGGTCGCAGTTAGCAGACGGGCGGCGGTCTTCGAAGTAGCCCTTCTTGTCCTGACCCACTGACCGGGGGATGCGGATGCTGGCGCCGCGGTTCGCCACACCGGCTGAGAACTCGTGGATGTTGGACGTTTCGTGGTGACCGGTCAAGCGCCGAGCGTTGTCCAGCCCCCCTTTGGGGTCGTAGGCACGGATGTGGTAGCGGTGTCTCTTTCCCAACTTCTCGATCGAATCTTCGATGCCCCTGTGTGGATAGAAGACGGAAGGAGTTAATCCACTGCTATAGAGACTTGAGACTTAAAAACCATTTGGGCCGGTTTCCCAGGCAGAGATTAAGCCTAGTCTTCAACTAAGAAGCATTTTCAATGGAGAATTGCCATTTGTCTAGGCCTAGGCTTAATATGGGTCCAGGAAAACTGGCCCTAAAACTAGCGCAATGGGTTTACAGCACAAATTTAATCCATGCCTACCTCAATCCACCATCTTCTCTCATCTCCTTGGTGCTGAAGTTTGTATGGCAGCCAGCGCCGTTCCAATTCCCAGAGATGGGCTTGGGGTCGAATGAGGCCACCACGCCAAAGTCCTCACACACCCGGTGGAGGATGAACCGAGCTGCCCAGAGATGGTCACCCATGTTGATACCTTCGCATGGCCCAACCTGGAACTCCCACTGGAAGACAACAATATAGATATTAGGCTTAGGAGTCAGAGAGATGATAATTTTGGACATTTACATGGTTAAGTTTCAGAATATTAAGGGAGAGTTTCATGGACACAGATTTAGCCTAATCCTGCATGAAGAATCTCTAAATCTAAGACTAAGCTTAATCTGTATCCGGCAAACTGGCCCAAAAAGTAATTTCCCTTTGATTTTACAGTGATCAAATATATAAACGCAACATGTAAAGTGTTGATCCCATGTTTCATGAGCTGAAATAAATGATCTAAGAACTGGTCCAATATGCACAAAAAGCTTATTGTGCACAAATTTGTTTACATCCCTGTTAGCGAGCATTTCTCCTTTGCGAAGATAATCCATCCACCTGACAGGTGTGGCAAATCAAGAAGCTGATTAAACAACATGATCATTACACAGGTGCACCTTCTGCTGGGGACAATAAAAGGCCACTCTAAAATGTGCAGTTTTGTCACACAACAATGCCACAGATGTCTCAGGTTTTGTGGGAACGTACAATTGGCATGCTGACCGCAGGAATATCCACCAGAGTACGTTCAACCGGCTTCACAACCCCAGACTATGTGTATGGCGTCGTGTTGGCGAGTGGTTTGCTGATGTCAACGTTGTCAACAGAGTGCCCCATGGTGGCGGTGAGTTTATGGTATGGGCAGGCATAAGCTACGGACAATGAACACAATTGCATTTTATCTATGGAAACTTGAATTCACAGAGATACCATGACAAGATCCTGAGGCCCATTTGTCATGACATTCATCCGCCGCAATCACCTCATGTTTCAGCATGATAATGCACAGCCCCATGTCTCAAGGATCTGTACACAATTCCTGGAAGCTGAAAATATCCCAGTTCTTCCATGGTCTGCATATTCACCAGACATGTCACCCATTGAGCACGTTTGGGATGCTCTGGATCGACGTGTACGACAGCGTGTTCCAGTTACCGCCAATATCCAGCAACTTCACACAGCCATTAAAGAGGAGTGGGACAACATTCCACAGGCCACAATCAACAGCCTGATCAACTATGTGAAGGAGATGTGTCGCTCTGCATGAGGCAAATGGTGGTCACTCCAGATACTGACTGGTTTTCAGATCCACGCCCTTACCTTTTTTTAAGGTATCTGTGGCCAACAGAAGCATATTTGTATTCCCAGTCATGTGAAATCCATAGATTAGGGCCTCCTTTATTTATTTCAATTGACTGATTTCCTTATATGAACTGTAACTCAGTAAAATATTTGAAAATGTTGCATTTATATTTTTGTTCAGTAGAATAATCAAAAGTGGTTCTTACCTGAGCTGGCATGACTTCAGCATTGGTGCCACAGATCTGAACCCCAGCATAAAGACAGGCTCTATAGTGGGCTTCTACGATGTCTCTACCGTACGCCTTGTCTGCTCCCACTCCACAGTAGTAGGGCCCTGTTCAGAAACACTGCATCGTCAGCCTCAACAGTTTAAACGCTAAACATTTAATACTCTAGTTGAATATACCAACTGAAAGTCACTCTGGATAAAATCATCTGCTAATGAATGACATTTTATGTTTAAACGTAACCTCTCAAACTGACCTTGTGGACCAGGGAAGCCGTTGGAAGGCCAGCCAAAGGGATGTCCATCTGTTCCCAGGATGGTATACTCCTGTTCCATGCCGAACCACGGCACCTGGTTCTCTACCATCTCCATGATCTTCTTACACGTTAGCCTGAGGTTAGTTTCTGGAGGGCAACAAACATTGTATTGGTCATTCAAACCATTTCTGCAACACTGAGCCAATGAGGCCTGGGTTCAATAAGATACTCAAGGCTGGGCCGTGTTCACCAAGCACGAAATGGAAGAAAACACTCCGAAATGGAGTCAAACAGGGTGGTATTCTCCAAATCTATCCAATAAAACTACTTATTTTCATTTTCTGCTGCAAAAGATTTAAAATGTTTGAGCCCCAAGGAACATGACTCCCAGTGTCACTTTACTTCTTAGGCTTACCTGTAGGCTTGCGGTTGTATTTGAGCACTTCACACAGGACCAGTTTGTTGGGGTCTTTCCTGAAGGGGTCTCTGAACATGGCAGCAGGGATAAGGTACATATCGCTGTTAGAGCCCTCCGACTGGTACGTACTGGAACCATCAAAGTTCCACTCTGGGAGATCTGAAGGAGAGAGGGAGGTAACCATGCGATAAGAGCAACTCAGGGATTCAAATACCCATTCGGTTCAGGGTTATTAGTCAAAGCAACCCATTCAGTGGGGAGAACAAGTATTTGATACACTGCCGATTTTGCAGGTTTTCCTACTTACAGAGCATGTACAGGTCTGTAGTTTTTATCATAGGTACACTTCAACTGTGAAAGATGGAATCTAAAACAAAAATCCAGAAAATCACATTGTATGATTTTTGAGTAATTAATTTGCATTTTATTGCATGGCATAAGTATTTGATACATCAGAAAAGCAGAACTTAATATTTGGTACAGAAACCTTTGTTTGCAATTACAGAGATCATACGTTTCCTGTAGGTCTTGACCAGGTTTGCACACACTGCAGCAGGGATTTTGGCCCACTCCTCCATACAGACCTTCTCCAGATCCTTCAGGTTTCGGGGCTGTCGCTGGGCAATACGGACTTTCAGCTCCCTCCAAAGATTTTCTATTGGGTTCAGGTCTGGAGACTGGCTAGGCCACTCCAGGACCTTGAGATGCTTCTTACGGAGCCACTCCTTAATTGCCCTGGCTGTGTGTTTCGGGTCGTTATCATGCTGGAAGACCCAGCCACGACCCATCTTCAATGTTCTTACTGAGGGAAGGAGGTTGTTGTCCAAGATCTCGCGATACATGGCCCCATCCATCCTCCCCTCAATATGGTGCAGTCGTCCTGTCCCCTTTGCAGAAAAGCATCCCCAAAGAATGATGTTTCCACCTCCATGCTTCACGGTTGGGATGGTGTTCTTGGGGTTGTACTCATCCTTCTTCTTCCTCCAAACACGGCGAGTGGAGTTTAGACCAAAAAGCTCTATTTTTGTCTCATCAGACCACATGACCTTCTCCCATTCCTCCTCTGGATCATCCAGGTGGTCATTGGCAAACTTCAGACAGGCCTGGACATGCACTGGCTTGAGCAGGGGGACCTTGCGTGCGCTGCAGGATTTTAATCCATGACGGCATAGTGTGTTACTAATGGTTTTCTTTGAGACTGTGGTCCCAGCTCTCTTCAGTTCATTGACCAGGTCCTGCCGTGTAGTTCTGGGCTGATCCCTCACCTTCCTCATGATCATTGATGCCCCACGAGGTGAGATCTTGCATGGAGCCCCAGACCGAGGGTGATTGACCGTCATCTTGAACTTCTTCCATTTTCTAATAATTGCGCCAACAGTTGTTGCCTTCTCACCAAGCTGCTTGCCTATTGTCCTGTAGCCCATCCCAGCCTTGTGCAGGTCTACAATTTTATCCCTGATGTCCTTACACAGCTCTCTGGTCTTGGTCATTGTGGAGAGGTTGGAGTCTGTTTGATTGAGTGTGTGGACAGGTGTCTTTTATACAGGTAACGAGTTCAAACAGGTGCAGTTAATACAGGTAATGAGTGGAGAACAGGAGGGCTTCTTAAAGAAAAACTAACAGGTCTGTGAGAGCCGTAATTCTTACTGGTTGGTAGGTGATCAAATACTTATGTCATGCAATAAAATGCAAATGAATTACTTAAAAATCATACAATGTGATTTTCTGGATTTTTGTTTTATATTCCGTCTCTCACAGTTGAAGTGTACCTATGATAAAAATTACAGACCTCTACATGCTTTGTAAGTAGGAAAACCTGCAAAATCGGCAGTGTATCAAATACTTGTTCTCCCCACTGTATGTTTGAGTTTCTGCTGTATTTGAGAAGTAAATGTTTGTTGGAGCTCTTTGAACAATGTGTTACAAGGGTGTAACCAGTGTTTCCTCTATATTCATTTAGCAGCGGCGCACTGCCACTCGCGCCTTTAAAATCAGAGCGACAAGTTCCAAATCTTCCTCAGATTCTCATCAGATTGTCAGAGAAAACTCCAAGGTAACTAGCTCTTGTAATCCTGAAAGTGTAGCCAACCCTATTAACAGAAGCATTTAACAACTGTTAGCTAAAATACAGTAACATTAAGCTAGATAAATAATTGTTTGGGTTAATATAGAATTGGCTGGTGAGGTCATTGAGATCAAGAGAAACTTCAACTGTCCACAATTTTCAGTTGAGTTTCAGAGGAAGAGAATATAATAAAATGTTAATGCATTTTGGAGTAGTGTCCTTTAAAAGTAATCAGAAATGACCTGTCTTCAACAAAAATCTCCTGGGGGGCATGGCCCCGGTCCCCCACCCCCACTACCTCTGCTGAGAAAAACTTTGGGGAAAACACTTGGTGTAACACAAAAGTTTCTTATTACCGATTTCAACAGGCTTAGATCAATTTAAACCAAGAGTCAGAGGTTACCTTCAATGGTCTTGGGTTCAGAATCCAGAGTTGTGGTCTTGCAGCGGAGCCCCTCTCCAGTCCCATCTATCCAGATGTACATGGCCTGGACCTTGTCTCCCTGAGGAAGATCCATATACTGCTGCTTCACAGTTTTACTCAAGCTGGCACTCTCTGACGTGGCCATTTTCACTGAGCGCCTGGAAAACCTTGGAACAAACAGAGCAATCGATTAGAATCGACTTGATGCATTTGATTCTTAGAATTTTGCCATTTGAGGTCTACAACTATTCTATTATGCCCGCCCAGTGATTTATTTATAGTAATAGTTGATCTACTCAATCTTACGTCGTAACACAAAAAATATCCACTATCCATACACCGCACATAATCAACAACCATAATAATATAGACCTAATAGAAATTGAATATAATACCCCCACAATTAGGCTAAGAGTTACGAAACTACAAAGAAGAGATAAACAGCACACCAATTAGTCAACATGATAAAACATACACAATGTAATTGTCGTGGCCTATCCTATAACTTTTAAAATAGTTTAGGAATAATAACCTTATATCAAGTAAGGAATTAGGATTAAAAGCCGGGTACAGCCTTCTGTAAATGTTCTATGTAATCCCAAATGCTTTTCTTTCATTCTTTTCCTCCAAAGTGTCCAAACGGTTCCATTTATAAAAGGGAGATATCGCCCCCTCGCCTCAGATTGGCTAGAAAGGAACGTGGTCCCTTCATGATCAGGTGATGGGGAGCTCATTTTTTGCGTTCATTGGTTGGCACGAAATATTTCATTCAATAGCCTGGCTACAATCCTGCCCAAACAAGTATTTATTTCAAGACTCTACTCTGTGTTTACTAAAGGAATGCTACCTATCCTTACTGAAACCTCAAATACGTTTATTTATTTGAACAGTAAAAAATATGGAACGGGGAAAAAGATAATCCATGGAATCATATCTATAATATGGTAATTATAAGTAACGATGATGAAGTAAAAGACGCTCCTGACGACATGAAAACAGAATACTCCTAGAAACAATTATGTTGTGGTGCATATAAAGAACAAATCGTCCTAAATGGTGAAAAATAAGAACATGATGCTCTTTGACTGTTCTTTGCCTTCTCTTGGCTAAAATATGAACGTTCTGTACTATTTTATTCTAAGATGGACATTTGTTATGATGAAGATACGAAAATAAAAAAAATACAGCCTTACCGATTTATAAGTCCATTAACCAACTACGTAATGAATTGCAACAATTCATACAGGTTTACGTTACGATTTTGTGATCAAATTATTACGTCATTGGTGATAAAGAGCTACTGCATGTGAAAAGACATGGCTGAATAAAAGGCAAAGGCATAAAGGCTGCAGAGTAGACAGTAGGCTACCTGCTTTCTTGAGCTATTGTAGAATAAAAATGACCAACAACTCATCAATACTGAAACCATCTGGTATGTTCTGCATAATAATACAGTAGACCAAATACTATAATACCGGTAGGCCTGCACAATGCCATTCCATAGGCCTATGTTATTTGCTGAAACCTAACATGACCCACTTAACATAAAAATTAGGCATATATATATATATATATTTTTTTTTAAACATTCTAACAACACTACAACTTGTTCACATTTGTATCTATTTTAGGTGGAGATGATGACCGACTGTCAGATCTTCTGAGAAATGACGTTTTCGTGGATTTCTTTAACACCTTTCTGAACCTACCGGTGAGCCCCTTCTGCGATATAAAATAGAACAGCTCTTTCACATAATTTAGAATAGAATATAACTGATCAGAATGGAATAGAATAGAATAGGTCTTTCACATAATTTAGAATAGAATATAACTGAGTAGAATAAAACAGAATAACTGTCACAGAATTTATGTTATATTTCAATCTGTTTTCTGTCTAGGTTTTTGGTCAAACTCCTCTCTTCTTTCTGTCAGACAACAAATGGTTAACGTGTCCTGAGATACCTCAAGGCCAGGTAGAGAATCCAAAACCTTACGAATGGCGCCCTCGTGTGGTTCATTTATGAAACAGTACTCAATGTCCATTAAAAACTATTGGGTTCAAATAGAGTTAAAAACATAACTTTTACTCTACATACCCATGAGAAAGAATGCAAAATAATTTCTTCATTTTGAAAAATAAAGGCAATATGTCTGGGTATTTTTTATTTAATATTGTAGCGACCTTAACTGAACCACTATCAACCTCGTTAAGAAGTTGGAACCTCTTGGCATAACGGTTAAGGTGTTGCCTTGATGGTCGCTAGACTCTGGTTTGAGTCCTGGTCTGGGCTTACCCCACACATTCGTGAGGCCATTGCAGAGACGTGTACACGTAAGGGACTTGGTATAGAGAAGTGTGGGGACACGCTCTCTCGAAGGAAAGGGGTATTGTAGCAACACTAACTCAACATCTATCAGCCTCATCAAAAGGTACGGACCTCTTGGCGTTAAGGTGTTGGTTTAATAGTTTGCTAGACCTGGGTTCGAGTTCTGTTCAGGGCTACCCCCTGAATTCGCTATACTTTGTTTAAATTTAATGTGTTATATGCTATACTTATTTTTGACATAACAGGAGGTGAACAGAGGAGGGTTTCGTAAGTGGTTGACTGCACATCGCTTCACCTTGTTCAAGGAAACAGAGTTGTTCCATTATTACACTCTCTGTAAAGAATTCTTGGAGTTCTCAAACCATCATTCAAAAGGTAATCCGATTTTTTTGTTTTGTTGTTGCAGTATGATAGCGGTACTGTAAAACTAAAGCATAGAGAAACATTGTGACAGGGTAGGAACCATAGTTTTGGTCAGTGTTTCCCCGTGGAATCTTAGTGATGAACATGTAAATTGCATAAAAGCACCCCTTAACTGTTGAAAGTGACAAAGTATGGGGAGGGTTTCTAAGTACAAATATTTGGGTCGATGTACAATGAGTGATATACATGGAAAGATAATGTCATAAATGTTGAAACAAAGTGTAAGAAAGTGGTGAATCTCATGTGCTCGGTCTCTGGTTATGAATGGGGTGCTGACAGACAATCGTTCATGGATATTTATAGAGCTCTGATCAGGACTACAATTGATTACAGGTGTATAGTTTATGGAAACGGTGAAGACTTGGCTTCTGAGGCTGGACAGAATCCAGTATATAGCTTTAAGGATATGTATTGGTGCATTTAAATCAACATCTGTATGTGCCTTACTAGTGGAGGCAGGTGAGATGCCTTTGGATATACGGCATTAAAAAATAGTCAGTAGCTTATTGGGCTAGTTTGAAAGGATGTGAGGTTGATTTGAAAGGACTGCTACTGTTCTAGATGACTGTTGGGAATATACTAGTTGACAAGGCAGTGGTTTTGGTTGGACAGTTGGAAAGCTTGCTGATGAGAGTGGTTTGAGTTGGAGGTTGGCCCTTCTGTGGTGAAAACGGATGTTCCTCCATGGTTACTCCCAGATCCTGTTGTTGATCTAACCTTGGTACCGAAAAGGAAAGATTGATCAGAAGTCAGTGATATAGGGAAACTGGTTGACAATTACATTGGTAGAAGTGTTCATGCTTTTTTACCGCTTTTCAGATAGTGGGCGCACAGGAGCAGGCGTTTACATTCCTGAATTTGATGGGCAGATATGTAGAAGACTAACAGATGAACTGTCAGTATATTCAGTTGAATGTTTGGCGATAGTAGTTGCCCTCCAGTGGGTGGTCATACAACCTGTTATAGTATGCTCAGATTCTCTGTCTGTATTGAATAGTTTATCATCTGGTAAATCTAATAGGAGTGACCTACTATTGGAAGTATTAATGTTATTATGGAGAATTGAGAGACTGGGTGTAGTAGTGAGATTCTGCTGGGTCCCAGCACATTCAGGTGTGGAAGGGAATGAAATGGTAGACCAGTTAGCCAAAAGAGCTTTGAAACAAGATATAATTTATATTAATGTTACATTGGGTAGAGGTGAGGCTAAATGTAAGATCAGATGTGAGGCAGAAGAGGTGGGACTATGAGCCCAAGGGCCGGCATTTATATGACCTCCAAAGAAAGGTTGGTGGACCAAGATTCAAAGGTCAGATTAGGAAGGAAGAGGTGGTGTTTGCTTGATTGCGCTTAGGACATTGTACATTGAATTCGTCATTACATCTGGTTGGTAAGCATGTGAATGGTTTGTGTCTGGAGTGTATGGTCGATGAAACGGTGGAGCATGTGTTGTTATATTGTTGTAAGTATGTTGAAGAGAGGGAAAGATGGAAGTGTAGGGTCATTGAGGTTGGACGGTGTTGGGGGGGTTTGGAAGGGATTTTGGGGATGGGGGAGGGTCTATTAGAAGTTAGTAGGGCTGTTTTTTATTTTCTCAGAAGTACTGAGTTAGGTTGGAGGATTTAGAAATGTTGTAAACCGTGATTGACCACACACTCCAGCACAGTAGGTGGCGGCATGCACCTTTAACGTTTGTTTTGCGGACTGCCATTATAATCACAGAAGAAGAAGAAAGTGACAAGGTGTTTGTCCTGAAGGCCCTGTGAAGAGTTGTTACTTGTGTGAAAGCAACGACTTTGTGACCATGCAGTTTTGACAAAGTTTTTGGGGTGTGGTAGAGAATTTTCGGAGAAGTTGGTTGCAGATTATTCCATGTGTTTGGCTTTAGGATTGTTTTGTGTAACTCAGTCATCAAAAATTCAAGTCCTCTGAGGCTGTGAAAGCACTGTATTACTTTAGGATTGTCAGTCCTATTTAATGAAAGTAAGATCTAAGACGCCTTTAATGTAATCTTGTTAATGTTGTGTACTGTTAATGTAAGGGGCTCATTACAGCTGTATTCCACCCACTATGGGCACTCGGGTGAAGCCCATGGGAAATTTGAGTTGAATGTGTTATTTTAATGTTATATTTTTTTGTTGTTGAATGTGTTAGAATAAGAAAATTATGAAAAATGCTGTAAACTGCTGTTACCTCATGCTGATATTATTAAAAGTCAAGTAAACAGTACCTTTCGCGTTGAAGTTTAAGCTTACATTATAAACTCATAAAAGAGTAACAAATGTGTTAACTTGACTGTTAACAGCAGTTTACAGTATTTTTATTTTTTATTTTTATTCTAACACACTCAATTCAAACTTTCTTTGTAATTTCCCATGGGCTTCACCCGAATGCCCCCTAGTGGCTGGAATACAACTGTATTGAGCCCCTTACATTAAAGGAGAAGTTTACCCAAAATCCAGAAACTCCCAAGTGATTCCATACATTGAAACTAGTTTAGTGGAGTTTGCCCCCCCCCCCCCCCCCTCTCTCTCTCTGTAGTGCTGTACTGAAAGTGTGGACAAATTAGTTGTTTTATTGAAAGCGTACGGCCGAATTAGCTATTTTTGTCAAATGTACTATTGGTTTTGAGTCAGAAAAGGTGTACTTTTGCACGTAAGACATTTGCTATTATTTGAAATTATTATTATTATATGTAGCTGACTGTCACAGCAACGGAGATGGGTAACAACTACACATCTGCGCCCTCGTTGGGGACACCCTGCTACATAGAAACGTCATGGTATGCCCTTATATGGAGCTTGACGTCAAGGCTATACAAAATATTTTTGGGGGGAGAAGGAGCTGGTGCAAAAGTTGATAAGAGTTAGGCTCAGGTAAAATGTGTTATGCAAAGTGGAAAAAGAGATGGCAGCAAGAGCAGGTTGGTGTTCCATCCCTGGCTGCACTATATACAGGAAGTCAATGGAAGAAGGCACCAAATGTAACTGTTTTCTGATAAAAGATAGAGATGCAGAAGATGGTTAGTAGCAATTTGAAATAGTAAATATGATGTAAATACTCCAGCAGCCAACCTTGCATCGCTGCGTGTGTGTAGCAACCACTTCAGCGATGATGCATATGCAATCGAGATATGCAATCGGAAATTATGGTGACAGAAAACCGAAGGATACTAAAATATACAGCTGTTGCTTCTGTATTTCCATAGACTTGATCTGGCGCAGTGCCAATATACAAAGGCACGTTTAAAAAGAGAAAGCAACAAAGCAAGCGTGCTGAGGTACAGAATGTAGCTTAGCCTGATCTTTGAAGTTTGAGGTGTTCTTATTGTGTCATTACCATTGCACCATATCATGTAGAGGGCCTAGGTGCTCCACAGGTTAGCATATGTGCCCAATGTATTTATGACAGGAGGGTTGAGAGACAATAGACATTGTGTCACCTTACGTTGCAGAATAGAATATCCCAAAAACATTGTGATAAATAAACATAGGCTATACAGTGTTTTGGGCTAATGTGAAAACATAAACCCACTAACTGTCCCACTCATAGAGGTTTATGATAAGCGATCATTAAATAAAGTAAAGTTTAGCTACTTACCCGTCTGATAATTGTCAATTTGGCCCAGCTGGAACAGCGTTGCGTCTCCAATTTTTGGAATACGCAAAAAAATTCCAGGACACCAGAGTTTGAGGGCAGCAAAATCCCTGTGGGCGCAAAAGCAAACTAACTGCTCTTCATCATCATTACGTTCCTCCATTTTTGTAAGAATTGTAGTCACGATTTCGAATTCTCTGCAGCACAAACATTCCTCACCTGTCGGCATTGGCGCACAATTGCCACAACTGCACCACCAGTCTGTGTGGATCCTGGGGATTGGTTGGGGCTGTGGTCTAGCTGCTGCTGCAGCTTCGGTGGCAAGAGCGGCGGTGGCCATCTAAAGCTCAATTTGCCTCAATTCTTCGTCCGAATACTCAGGCTCAAATAAATATGGTTAGTAGACACCATCGGTGTCCCTCCAGTAGTTTTCTTCATCACTCGCGAGTATTTCGTCGTCAGACATGTTTGTAGGTTGTTGTTTACTTTGTATAACTAATGTGTAAGGTGATCTTCACTTCTCCGCACATCTGTGAATACCCACAAAAAAAAGTAGGTTACTATAGAATACTCCAGTACTTACTATAGAATTCAGTAGTAAATTGTAGTATACTGTAGAATACTATACTACACACTGTAGTATCCCTCGATTATTTGTAGTACTTACTCTATAATTGTGTAGTATCCGCAAAGAAACACTGTAGTAAACACTACAGTCCGCAGAAACAGTACAGTTTTTTAAAACTATGGATAGCGCACATGCACAGTTGTTACCCATCTCTGCTGCTGTGGCAGTCGGCTACATGAAATAATTATATAAAATTATCTGCCTCCCACCAGGGACGGACTGGTCATCTGGCATTTCGGGCAAATGCCAGATGGGCTGGTCTATTTTTAGCCCAGTGCGCCTGTCTTACTTGTTTTTTTGTGTGCAAAATGATCATTACCTGACTAATAATGGGGGCCTCAAGGAAAAAAATGCCTGTGTGGAGGCCTCGAGGGGAAAAATGGGCCGGTGTGGGGGGGGGCCAAGGGTGTTTGCCTTTCACGCCAGCGACCCGAGTTTGCTTCCCTGCCCCACCAACTGTGTCTTTATGCCACATGTGTTTACTGTCAATTCCATACAGGCACATAGTAGTCTATGTTTGGGTCAGCTGTGTGAAAACCCTGCTGACAGATTCACAGAGTAAGGTCACTCCTGTACTGTGCTAATTTGAAATTCTTGTTGGTTGAAGTGTTGAAATGGACAACAGAAGACCAGTGGCTGCTGAGGAGATGCATTGGGAGCGGGAGAGGGATGAGGCGATTCAGCATTTTCATCAAGGGCACTCGTGGTAGGTGACTGGTGTTTGTATGTGTGTGTGTGTGTATTCCTGGCCTATGAAGTGGCATTACTAATTTATTTGTATGTATTTTCCACGTGTGGTCATTCATTGACTCATGCTTCCTGTGTGTGTGTGCAGGGAAGGAGCTGGTGTCGTTCTGTGTGAGAGTGTCCAGGTTGTTCAACATGGACTGTGAGGATGCAGGTCAGAAACACAGATACCTGGCCCTGCTGACTGTCATCAGGGCCATCCATCTCACAGAGGGATCCAGCGTCATGGCTATCTGTCACATACCACGAGGTAAGGAGACTAAACTGGTGACAAAGTGCATTTCCCTGGGATCGAGAAAGTCACCATGAAAAAAGATCAAGATTATTCATTCAAGAGAGAGCCAGGCCACATCGCCGTTACCTGTCCTGAAACTACTCACCTGCCCCTTGTCTGACCTATAGGGCTGCATACTCTTGAGTGCTGTGTTGATGTGTTGATGTGTTGATGTTTTTTTCTTCATTTAAATCCCTTTGTCTATGCTCTCCTGTGTCTGTCTGGTAGATGAAATGATTAGCATTCTATCCAGTGAGCTACCCGACAGTGCCAGAAAGCAGATCATCGGTCAGATGTATAACAAAGCTTTACATCGGCTGCAGCACTATTGGCTTCCTCAGTTTCTAAGATACTGCAAGGACTCACTCTGGAGAGCTGCAGAGTGCAGCCAAATCGTTCAGGAGTACAGCGCCATCGCATCCCACTCTGCTCCTGCGGATTTGCTTGATATACCTGCTCGACTGGACCGAGGCCTGGGACAGGTGAAGGAGGCAGAGCTGACTGGGGGTGCAACTGGGACCTACTGCTCCAAAAATACCAAGAGACTCCTCTGGATGCCCCATAAGGAACCACAGAACAGATCCGTAATGGTAGCCCGGGAGGAGAAGATCCAAGATGTACGCCTCTGTTGCCAGTGGCTTCCTCTTGGGGTTGAAACAGACCAGGAAGGGTGCACTAATGTTGTGCATAGCAGTCAAACCAAATACCAGATTGATGCCACAACTGAACAATCCCTCAACATGCCTGATGATACAAAATCCCAAACCTGCAGCAAACAAACCAGCAAAGTGGACAACCTCAAGTCCAGCCACAGAAGTGGCAACCCTCTCCCAAACATTGATGTTGAGGGGATCCAGGAGGGAGAAGTACTTATTCCACACACCTGTATGGAGACTCCTGCCTACTACCAGCCGTCTGTCTTACCAGTTCCCCCTGCACCCGCAACTCCAGAGTCCCACTGCTACAACTACCTTCAGCCTGCCCTGTCAGCTGACAGCTTGGCTGGTGGGCCCTTAGCTGCCTTCCTGAGGGCCAGGGGAATGGAGAGAGAGCTGCAGCATCTGGGGCTCTGGCAGGACCTGGAGCTGTTCCTTAGCCTGGTACTCAGGTATGGAGATATTTACAAAATATTGTAAATTATTGAAAAAGGAATTACAAACAAATGTGTTGTTGTGAAAATACTGAATGCAACTTTCAAAATGAAACATCTGTGAAAATGCCCAAAGCGAGAAATATGTTTGTAAAATGTGCTGCGTTTAACAGAAAAAAACATTGTTGTATTTATGTGCTAATAATGATTTGTTTTTGGTAGTGATGACTCATTCACTTTTGTAAACTATATTTTATTTGACTGTAATCTATCTCCATACTCAGGGCCCAGGGAGATGACTCCCTCCACAGCCAGAGACAGGCTGTGGCAAGGAGGATCACACACACCTACCTGGGGGAGAACGCAGAGAGGGTAGGCCTCCTGGAGAGGGACACCAGCAGGCAGCTCTGTAGACTCCTGCCCTCTGGAGCAGTCATACCGTGGATATACACAGCCAAACATGAGATCTGTAAGGTAAAGTCAGCATGTTGACATACAGTTATGTTTGAATGTTTTAAAAATCTTGTGAATATTTTAGAATGTCTTGAGTCAATGTATTGGTAATGGACATTTTTTGTAGGTGCTTTGTGCATCTTATGATTCCTTTTTGGACGAAGAAGACAAACATTTCTGTTCCTGTCTGGTAACTGATTTTATTTCGTTTTATGCAAATTGATTATACAATACAACAGTATTGTCCATAGTTACAGTGAACAACGGAAATGTGTGTCCCCCTCCTTTTACACACACACACACACACGTATCTTCCCATCTCCCCTTTAACTCTGTTGAGGGTTATCTTATGTTATCAAATTTTCCCTTCTGATTTGACCATCAGGAGAGTGCCAGTGTGAACTGCGGTCAGATGCTATCTCCTAGTGGCCAGAACACAGAAGAGCAGCAGGTCAGGAGGATGAGGGAGGCTCTGGCCCTTTGTCAGTCCTGCTGTAGCCATGGAGACACAGAGCAGCTCTCTGATAGGCAGGAGAACTGGGCCCTGATGGCTCTAGAGGACGTGAAGAGAGGAGGGTCTGTCCACCTGCACTACAAGAAGACTGGTAGGAACGTAACCAAGGACTAACACAGAGGAGTTAAGGAGAGTAAGGGGGATGTGCGGATTCAGTTGTAACTAAGGCTACTAGAGAGCAATGCAGGTGTTACTACAGAATGCACAATGAAAGAATGATAAGTTTAACTCCATGTATAGTTGCATTGTAACATTTCTATTATGTGGAAAGCACACTTACAGGATAAGGAATCAAGGCCCTGTGAATACAGTCATTGTGTCTGTCTCTAGAGCCACTTGATCTGCCGTTTGACTTGCTGGCGGTGAGGTACCCAAAGCTGGCAGTGGAGAATCTGAGTGTTAACTATTTGCTGTACCAGAAGAGGAAGCCTTTCTCAGACGGCGAAAGCTCTAAGCCAGTATCCGCTGGTTCCTTGATGAAGAAAGCCCCTCTGATGTTGAAGAAAGACAACAGTTTTGTTCGCAGGCTGTCTATGAGGCCAAGGTACTGTTGGGACACCACCTTAAATGCTTCCTTGTTCATTGAGTTCATTGAGTCATTGTTTATCTAATGAGTGTATCTAATATAGCATAAGTAAGAATCTTCAGCTACCACTGATTTTGCAGAAGCCGGCTGTTTTGTAGAAGGTTTTACTTGCAATGATTGTGATAAGTGGCTCTTTTACTTACTTTAGTTGAATAAGAGCTCTAAGAGCACCTTCTAAATGACTAAAATGTTAATGTGTATATGGCTGTATTGTTTGTCTCCGTGCTACAGGTCGTTTGGAGATGTGTTCCGGAACCCGGTGAGTCTGGACTACTTCAAGCGCTTTCTGCGTTTCCACTATGCCCAAGGAGCGCTGCTCTTCACACTGGAAGTAGAGAAGCTGAGAGCCATCGACCGGCCGACACCTCAGAAGATCAAAATCCTCGCCATCGTGAATAAGTTCTTACGCCGGGATGACCCCAGTACAGTCCTCAAATCCTTATTCATTATTCCTGTCAGATTCTGTCCTTGGTGACCTTTAGCCAAGCTGACATCAATGGTGCCTTATTCTCTTTGCTGTCATACATTGGTAATGCTGGCTGGTAAAACATTATTTCCCTCCTTTCTCTGCAATATGAGATGAGGTACTCTTTTCTAACTTTGCTTAGTCTTCTTGGCCCCCTAGGGAGCATTGTGTGTCCACCATGGCTCTCCATCTCACTATTTTCTGCTGATACTCTTAAAGGACTGTCTGTATTATTTCTAAAAGAGATGTATTGAAGTGAAAAGGCTAACACGACTAGCATCCTCCCACAGTGGGCTATCTGCAGTGCAATGCTGACATCATCTCCCAGGTGGCTCAGATGAGAACTGTTTCCTGTGAGGTTCTCTACACCATCCAGGACCTGGTCACCAAGTCACTGGAAGGAACATGGTATTGGGATTATTTATCCATGTGGACATGAGTTGATTTAGCCTGGTCCTATATTTGTTTGTGCTGTATAGCCAACTCCTATGGTCGTTGTTATGCCAAACATGACAATAACCATAGAAGTTGGCAAGATGGAACAAACAGATCTGGGACCAGGCTATGGATGATTGATGCTACTTGACAGAACTCTGTGATTGATGTGATGTGTGTTTGTTTGGATGCAGACAAAACAGTGTGTGTTAATCCGATGTGTGTGTTTGGATGATTCCCTGCAGGTTCAAGCAGTACCAAGACACGTTCCCACCATGTCCTGCTGTGGGCTCAGAGTCCTGCCTGAGAGGAGCCATACTGAAGAACAAACTGGTAGAAACAACACCCAGCCTCTCATCCTCTATGTACTGTTAGACACTAGACAGTTGTACAATCACTGTATAACCCTCTTGGGCAATGGTATCTAAAATGTTCTCTCTCATTCATTCATTCATTAATTCACTCACTCACTCACTTACTCCTTATGCACCTCACCCTGAAGAAAAATGTCTGGATGGTGTTTTGCCGATTCATCAAGACAGTCTGTAAGTTTCAAAACGCAATGAAGGATCCTCGCACGAGGACTGAGTTTGAGCTGTACCTGAGAATGAGCTACCGCCACTTCTCCGAAGGTAAGCTGTCCTCAGTCCCTTATCTCCATTCTGGTCCTGGTTCTGGTGCTGAACAATGTATAGTTTCTCCAGGTGCTACAGAAAAAATAAATATTTATAAAAAAGGACAAATCTCCAGCACACTGGTGATCTTGGATGTTCCACAAACCAATGTTTCGGTGTTAGACCTTCATCAGGGTTTTAATCCTAGTTCTGGTGCCAGCAGTATACACAACTAAGTTGACCTTGTCTCCTATAGCATGTGACTCCCCTGCCCCTCCTAAAGAAGAGGGGGATACCTCCCACATGAAGAGACGGGTCGTTAACGGTAAAGTCATTATCATTGACTTCCTCATCAACGACCTATCTTTCTACCTGGAGAGTGAGAGGTAAGATTGAGATGTCTCACAAGGTCACGTATATGTTTTCCTTCTTACATTATTGACATTCACTTCTATTCACAGTTTCAATTTAAAGGTCCAATATCAAATCATTTCTGGATAAAAATTAAGTACCTTGCTCTGATTGTTTTCAATTAAAATGGTCAAAAAGAAACAAAAGTAGCTTCTTAGCAAAGAGCAATTTCTCAAGCAAGACATTTACTAGGACTGTCTGGGAGTGGTCTGAGTGGGGAAAACTGAAAATTAGCTGTTATTTACAGAGGTTTGGAAATCTCTTTCTTATTGGTCTATAAACAAATGTACTGGCCAAAATTCCATCCCACCAAAACAGACTGAAATTTCAGGCGGTCTTTTCAAACAGCTCTTACACCAGGGGTTCCCAAACTTTTTTGGCCCTCAACCCCATTTTGATATCTGAAAATTCTCACGACCCCAACCATGAGGAAAAAATTATGTAATTAACAGCCAATGTTTACTTTTTTAATGGGGGCTATGGCAGTCAATTGAAATTCTAACAGTATTTCTGACTGTATTCTAAACTCACCATCATTTACTTTTAATGTGGGGCTAATGACAGTCATTTGCAAATTAGTCTGATATAATGCATCTTATCTCACCACCACTAATGAGATGGGTGTGCTTGATGCATGTAATGTCGGTGCTTCTCAAAGTCAGGGTGTGTGGTCCTCATCTCTGTCAAGTCAGGGTGTGCGCGCACCTCAACTCTGCTGTCACAGCCAACCTGGATCGATACAGTGCCTTGCAAAAGTATTCATCCCCCTTGGTGTTTTTCCTATTTTGTTGCATTACAACCTGTAATTTAAATAGATTTTTATTTGGATTTCATGTAATGGACATACACAAAATAGTCTGAATTGGTGAAGTGAAATTCAAAAAATTACTTGTTTCATAAAACAATGTATAATGGAAAAGTGGTGCGTGCATATATATTCACCCCCTTTGCTATGAAGACCCTAAATAAGATCTGGTGCAACCAATTAACTTCAGAATTCATTTAATTAGTTAAATAAAGTCCACCTGTGTGCAATCTAAGTGTCACATGATCTGTCACATGATCTCAGTATATATACACCGGTTCTGAAAGGCCCCAGAGTTTGCAACACCACTAAGCAAGGGGCATCACCAAGCAAGTGGCACCATGAAGACCAAGGAGCTCTCTAAACAGGTCAGGGACAAAGTTGTGGAGAAGTACAGATCAGGGTTGGGTTATAAAAAAATATCTGAAACTTTGAACATCCCACGGAGCATCATTAAATCCATTATTAAAAAATGGAAAGAATATGGCACCACAACAAACCTGCCAAGAGAGGGCCGCCCACCAAAACTCACGGTCCAGGCAAGGAGGGCATTAATCAGAGAGGCAACAAAGAGACCAAAGATAACCCTGAAGGAGCTGCAAAGCTCCACAGCGGAGATTGGAGTATCTGTCCATAGGACCGCTTTAAGCCATACACTCCACAAAGCTGGGCTTTACGGAAGAGTGGACAGAAAAAAGGCATTGCTTGAAGACAAAAATGAGCAAACACGTTTGGTGTTCGCCAAAAGGCATGTGGGAGACTCCCCAAACATATGGAAGAAGGTACTCTGGTCAGATGAGACTAAAATTTGAGCTTTTTGGCCATCAAGGAAAACACTATGTCTGGCGCAAACCCAACATCTCTCATCACCCCAAGAACACCATCCCCACAGTGAAGCATGGTGGTGGCAGCATCATGCTGTGGGGATGTTTTTCATCGGCAGGGACTGGGAAACTGGTCAGAATTGAAGGAATGATGGATGGCGCTAAATAAAGGGAAATACTTGAGGGAAACCTGTTTCAGTCTTCCAGAGATTTGAGACTGGGACGGCAGTTCACCTTCCAGCAGGACAATGACCCTAAGCATACTGCTAAAGCAACACTCGAGTGGTTTAAGGAGAAACATTTAAATGTCTTGGAATGGCCTAGTCAAAGCCCAGACCTCAGTCCAATTGAGAATCTGTGGTATGACTTAAAGATTGCTGTACACCAGAGGAACCCATCCAACTTGAAGGAGATGGAGCAGTTTTGCCTTGAAGAATGGGCAAAAATCCCAGTGGCTAGATGTGCCAAGCTTATAGAGACATACCCCAAGACACTTGCAGCTGTAATTGCTGCAAATGGTGGCGCTACAAAGTACTTTGACTTTGTGAATAGTTATGCACGCTCAGGTTTTCAGTTTTTTTGTCTTATTTCTTGTCTGTTTCACAAAAAAAAAATATTTTGCATCTTCAAAGTGTTAGGCATGTTGTGTAAATCAAATTGTACAAACCCCTCCAAAAAATATATTTTTATTCCAGGTTGCAGGGCAACAAAATAGGAAAAATGCCAAGGGGGATGAATACTTTCGCAAGCCACTGTATTTGGTTTTAATGCAGACAAGAGCACTGAATCCAGCTTCACACAGATGAGCTGGCGAAGGGTACCTTGCGTTTTATGGTGCTTTCAAGACAACTGGGAACTCTGAAAAATACAAGGTCAAATCATGACATCAGTGATCTTCAGGTCGGAGCTCTAGAAAGAGCCCCGAGTTCCCAAATTGGAATTCTGAGTTTAATGACCGTAAAATAATAATAATCCAAGTTGGAGCTTGTTTTTTTTCCCAGAGTTCCCAGTTTTCTTGAACACAATGAAGTTGGAAGTCAGATAGTTCCAAGTTCCCAGGTCCCAGTTGTTTTGAACGTGGCATTAATGCTCAGAGGGAGACGGCAGGGTATTCCCTTTGAGGCAGGAACCAAAACTCCTCTGTAGTGACCCGTGAATGCATTCGGTCACATGACAGCTCGATCAGCTGTTCGATTTCACTTACAGGCATGTCAACTGAGCCAGGATCAAAGTCAAACGGATTAGGAAGTATATCCCAAAGTGCTCTTCCAAGCGTTGGAGGTGAGCAGTCATCACTCGTGTGGGACCCTTACTGATGCTGTTTTCTGTTAGAAACATGCACAGCTGAGGGAAGGGGGCATGGTTCAATTTTGAAAGACTCTCTCCAATAAGAATTCTTTCCTCTGAATCCTTTGATTCAGTCAGTCATCTGTAGAATGTTTTTGTATTTCCCTTGCATGGTTGCATTCAGTTTGTTCAGTTTCCCAAATATGTCTGTTTTCATTACACTGAAAGTCAACCAAAACGTTTCTTTTTTTTTACATCCATTATGAATGACAACAGTTCCACTCTCAATGCGAAAAATCTTTCCAACAATCCCCTTCGATAACCACCAAGCCTCAGTGTGAAATAGAACATTGTCATGCTCTGATCCATTTACATTTACATTTACGTCATTTAGCAGACGCTCTTATCCAGAGCGACTTACAAATTGGTGCATTCACCTTATAGCCAGTGGGATAACCACTTTACAATATGTTATTTTTTTTCTTTGGGGTGGGGTAAGGGGGGGTAGAAGGATTGCTTTATCCTATCCCAGATATTCCCTAAAGAGGTGGGGTTTCAAGTGTCTCCGGAAGGTGGTGAGTGACTCCGCTGTCCTGGCATCGTGAGGGAGCTTGTTCCACCATTGGGGTGCCAGAGCAGCGAACAGTTTTGACTGGGCTGAGCGGGAACTGTGCTTCCGCAGAGGTAGGGGGGCCAGCAGGCCAGAGGTGGATGAACGCAATGCCCTCGTTTGGGTGTAGGGACTGATCAGAGCCTGAAGGTACGGAGGTGCCGTTCCCCTCACAGCTCCGTAGGCAAGCACCATGGTCTTGTAGCAGATGCGAGCTTCAACTGGAAGCCAGTGGAGTGTGCGGAGGAGCGGGGTGACGTGAGAGAACTTGGGAAGGTTGAACACCAGACGGGCTGCGGCATTCTGGATGAGTTGTAGGGGTTTAATGGCACAGGCAGGGAGCCCAGCCAACAGCGAGTTGCAGCAATCCAGACGGGTGATGACAAGTGCCTGGATTAGGACCTGTGCCGCTTCCTGTGTAAGGCAGGGTCGTACTCTCCGAATGTTGTAGAGCATGAACCTACCCATGTCTCCACATAGTTTTGCAAACAGGCGTGCGCACAGTGGTTGTGCTTTGATGTAGTTTACAAATGAAGTTACCTGCTGCATTATATCTCAGAGTTCTGTGCTCAGCTCTTTTGCCACCAGTTTCTCTCGGTGTACTATACAATGCGCCCATATGGTAGATGGAGACACATTCATAACTAGAGTGCAGAGGCCCCTGCCTGCTGTCCCGCCATAGATGGAGCCCCATCTGTGCAAAAGCCAACCATTCGATCCCATGGAATCTGTTTTTCGTCAATATAACCACACAGCACACTGAACATCCCCTGTGCCATTTCATGCTTGGCTATCGTGAGACAGAACAATATGTCCTCGTGAATAGCATCCCCCGACATGTATAGCGAACAAAAGTCAATGCATGGGCATCTCGGCCCTCTCAGCTAAAGTCCATTTGGAGAGCATAGGCTGGGGAGTTTTTGAGTCGTTCAGAGTTTCCTCTTGATTGCTAGCAATAGCATCAATTATTAGTTTAACAGTGTTATCTGACAAAGGTATTGATGTGAGTTTCTGTACCACTGCCTCCCCACACATTGTTTTCACCATATCAATTGTGGCCGGTAATATCAAAGTCTCTGCAATAGTGTGTTGTTTCATAGGGAAGTGGGCCTAGCCATTGACCGTGGGAATGATTCAAGTGCAACGGTCAAGTGCGGCCTTTTCCCATGATCTAAGGGCGCTCTCTGGTTGAATTCTATCTTTTAGATTTGAATAATTTTTATTTCGATTTTTAAGGTTAATCACTTTACAATGATTTTGAGATACAAAGACAATATTATATTATCTATATATTATCCCGCGACCCCATTTTCATGTCAGTGACCCCGAGATTGGGAACCGACGTCTTACACTAAAAGGGCATTATTATCATAATTTTAAAAATGTCACAGTATTATTCCAACCTCATAGTGTGGATATATACACTGAGTGTACAAAACATTAAGAACCCCCCCCCCCCCCCCCCCCCCCCCCCATGGACTCTACAAGATGTTGAAAGCTTTCCATAGGGATGCTGGCTCATGTTGACTCCACAGGAAAACTGTTGAGCGTGAAAATCATTAGCTTTGCAGTTCTTGACACAAACTGGTGCGTCTGGCACCTACTACCATACCCCGTTCAAAGGCAATTAAATATTTTGTCTTGCCCATTCACCCCCTGAATGGCACACATGCACAATCCATGTCTCAATTGTCTCAAGGCTTAAAAATCATTTTTTAACCTGTCTCCTCCCCTTCATGTACACTGATTTGAGTGGATTTAACAAGTGACATCAATAAGGGATCATAGCTTTCACCTGGTCAGTCTATGTCATGGAAATATCAGGTGTTCTTAATGTTTTGGACTGCACTGGGCCTTTATGTAGTTTTAGACTAGTATTTGTGTTGGTTGCATAATGTTAGTGTATGTTTGTTTTGAATCGTTAAAGGTTTCAGTTCTGTCTGTGCTGTTAACCCCATAAGATCTATGGGCCTGGGTTTCCACTAAGATAACATATGGAATTGTTTTAAGATGGTCATACCAAGGATCATTTAGTTATTTGATTTAGAATTTTAAGACCCCTGTAGTTATAAAAAAACAAACTAAACAAAAAATATTTGATGAAATATTGAATTTGGCCTTAATGCTATTAGCCCATAGAAAAGCATTGAATAACATATTAATTCATACATTTTTGCGACCCATATTTAACCCCCTTTTTGGGCACTAAAGTAGCCAATCCCTAAGCCTTTAGCCCTGTCTTGGGACCTGTCTATTGTGCTTGAGGTGATTTTTCTGCAACTTTTTGAGCCGCTGGAAAGTGTGCAGTTGAAATATCTCTCCTTCAAGACGGCTTTGCTGATTGCCCTTTCAGCCCGCCGCCCTTCAACTCTATGGAAGAAGGGCGTCTCTACTGTTTATGTCCAGTACGCACGTTGTATCTACTTGGATTGAACAAAAGCATGGCGCAAGAGGGACCAACTCTTCGTGTCCTGGGCGCCCCCATGCAAAGATGGGCCCCTCTCTCGTCAGCTGCTATCCCATTGGGTAGTGGAGGCTATTATATTAACGTATAATACTGTACTAATGGTTTACAGCCCCTGGAGGGCCTGAGGGCTCATTCTACCAGGTTACTTTCAGACGAGTCTTGTGAGGCTTGCGGGCGTCAACAGGACAATGACCCAACACACCTCCAGGCTGTGTAAGGGCTATTTTACCAAGAAAGAGAGTGATGGAGTGCTGCATCAGATGACCTGGCCTCCACAATGCCCCGACCTCAACCCAATTGAGATGGTTTGGGATGAGTCGGACAGCAGAGTGAAGGAAAAGCAGCCAACAAGTGCTCAGCATAGGTGGGAACTCCTTCAAGACTGTTGGAAAAGCATTCCAGGTGAAGCTGGTTGAGAGAATGCCAAGAATGTGCAAAGCTGTCATCAAGGCAAAGGGTGTCTATTTGAAGAATCTCAAATATAAAATATATTTTGATTTGTTTAACACTTTTTTGGTTACTACTTGATTCCATATCTGTTATTTCATAGTTTTGAAGTCTTCACTATTATTCTACAATGTAGAAAATAGTAAAAATAAAGAAAAACCCTTGAATGAGTAGGTGTGTCCAAACTGATGACTGGTAGTGTACGTATTGGTGAGCATCTCACCTTTCGATTAGTGTGTAGCCCAAACCGTTTGGACACTACTGACCGAAGTTGGCACATCGGCGGTACTGACTTCAGATGAGTCCTGTGACGCTTGTGGGGATTGTAGAGCAAAACGGTGAACACCGTCGTGTTCGTGAGAGTCTCATCTTTCCATAGAGGGGACATAATAGTTTGTAGCCCAAACCGGACGCTACAGAAAGTTTTGCGAGAAGACTGATTTTCGGGATAGATGCGGTAAAGAGGTCCATGGAACTCGACCCAGACAATGGAAATGCCATGGAAATGCGTGGGGGAAAGATCCTGAATCCCCCCAGCAAAATGTGCCTACTTTTAGGCAATTTATTATGTGTATTTCACACTATGTTGAGGTAGGAATCGAAGTATAATGCTTGTATGGATGTCAACCCCAATAGATGTTCATGCCATTGTCACCAATCAACTACATTGCAGTTAAGAACGACTGACTACCACCACCGATTTCTGTATGCTAGCTATGCTACCAGCTTATACGAACATGAGTTAGTATTAGCATTCACTTCTTCTAAACCTGGAAAGGGACTACTTCTAAATGTTATGCAGCGAAAACAGCCAAATATATCCAAATCGGACTTTAGTAACCACATTGAGGGCCTGTTACAATACATCAATCATGACGGATTTGACGAATATCCACTTTGTTAGATTTATTGAATGTGTGCCAATCCGGCAGCTTTCTTCTATCCCCCACGGTCTGCGTTCCATTGACCTCTTTACCGCGCCTATGTCTCCTGGTCTGAAAAACACAGCTGTAGCTCTGCCACTTTCCACCGCAGATGCAGGAGGCTGACATCGGCGGATGTGATACACAGCCCGTGCAACAAAAAAAAACATATCTCTAGCTTAAACAGACACATTTTTATGGGGCTGTTTTTATTATGCTAATTAGATTTCCGCAGGGCGCAGACATCAACTCTTTAATGTGTGTCCTGATACCGCTAACCTGTTGTTTTTGTTGTTGTTGTGTTGCAGGTTCAGGAACATGGCAGATTCAGGCTCAGTGATGGCGTCTGCAGGGATGTATGGAGAGAATGACCATGCTATGCTACACCAGAAGGCTGACATGATCATCAAGATCTTCCTCAAGTCAGAGATCTCTCCCAAACTCAGGGTAGGACTACTTAGTTCAGATGTCTTATATGATACTGTGGTTTTATATGATATCATGTTTTATATGATACTTATTACATTTCTTATTTTCATCTGCAGTCCCATTGGCTGTCTTTTTATATCCCATATCGTGTTATGGTTAATATAATATGGTAACTCTGTGCTGCTTTGTTTGTAGATAAACATAGCTGAGACCCAGAGGGATGCCATACTGCTGCTATGCTCCACAGGGAAAGTAGACAGAGGACTGTTCCACCCAGCTATCATAACCATCTTCCCCAACCTCATCTTCTGCTGGAAAAAGTGACCTATAGCTAGTGTTATTATTACTATCAATATTACAGTACATGCTGTTACACATTTTGGTATTTAGGGAAACCTCTTTATCTGTGACTTTATGTAATACCTTTCTATATACATAATTTCACGAGGCAACAGTCTGATATTACTTTCCCCCATAATGGTTTAATTCTAGCCTGTGTACCAGACAGTAAGAGAGCAGCAACAGACTAGTACCCAGGCTAGTTGAACGGACCTTGCTGAGTAAACTGATCCCTCCCCTGCTTTAGGTTCTGTAATCAGAAGTTGACGAAGAACCTGTATGGAGTCAAGCCTACTAAGAAGCAGGAGGTCTCCTCCACCCCAGACTACATGGGCCCGCTGCTCATAGACAACGACTGGTACCGCAAGGTCAAAACCATCATGTCCATGACAGGTCAGTTCCACTGTCCAAGACAGTTAGAGAGCAGAGTAGGGAATCTTTATAAGCCCATAGGAACAATATGTAAATAAATGTACTGTACATATAGATGATATTAAAACACGGAGTTGCCTATATGCAGCCAAAACAGAAAAAGAAATGCGGTCAGAGACCCACTTGAGCAGCACCACCCCCTCAAGATTCTGAGCCTGCCTGGCAGGGTTGGTCCTACAAAGCCAGAGCCCCCTGATGGTAGAGCATAATATACAAGGAAATTCTCAAAGCTGCTAATGAGAACCTTGACGACCTTGTACCTAACCGGTGGGGATTCCGGTGGGGTACCCCCACCCAGGTAGTGGCAGTGCTGGCAACACTGGCTGCAGTAACCCATGCGGAGGGGGTCACACTCGGACAATCAGAGAGGGGGCATATTATTGTGGCCCTGGGGGCACAAAATAATTAAAGGTCTGACTGCACGGAAATGCTTGGGAAAAATGGTTACAACGGGGGACCAGAGTGTTTGTGTCTCAGGGGAAGAGGGTGGATCTGATCTCCACCACCTAGGACTTGACATAGATTCATCAAATCTCACATTGTTGTCAATTTTTGCTCAATCTTGCATGCTTTCTCAAACAGCTGTAACTGTATATGCATTCGTAAATCAGGTCCTTTCTTGAGTTGGGCTCTGGGATGTAACAACCGTTGAGCATCTGATATTATGGTTGATTGTGGAGGAAATGGGTTGAGTGTGTTAGAGTATGTGCGTGTGTGTGTGTATTTATCCCACATCTGTTGCAAGGGGGTAAGGATGTTAGGGAAAATATAGGATGAACCACAATAATTGTTTGCTAAAATAAGAATTGCTTGACAAAAATGTAATGTAATGGCAATCCGGGTTATAGGTAACAATCCTACGCATGAACTGCCAACATTATTACGCATATTAATTGATAATGATGGAAATTAAGATATGCAAGATATTTGAATAGATATATATTTTTAAATAGCTATATATATATTGAGGTGAGAGCATTGGAAATGCTTTTGGCGGTTGACCTGCTTCTGTATTGTGGGTGGCACTGTGTGCTGTTTTCGAATGGATGGGTCCTGGCCTCTCGGGGGCCTAGGGATCCGGGGGGACGGGGGTGGTTTGCCGATCACTGGGATGACGGCCCAACTTGGGACGGGGAGGGGCTTTAGCGGGGCATTTAGTGGAGAACAATTAGAGGGTTACTTAGTAGCAATGCAAATATCATGGTACAGCTATATGGACACTCAATCACTATGGTATTTTTTATTGGCACATTTACAAACATATATTATGATAAATAGATTTGAAACTTGTATCTCATTATGGTATGTGGTGAAATAAGTATAGTCAGTTATAATTGTAATGGCTTAGCAGATAATAACAAAAGAAGAACAATATTTACATGGCTCAAAGAGAAGGAATATAATATCTATTGTTTACAGGAAACTCATTCAACAATTCTAGATGAAGTTGCGTGGAAAAACGAATGGAGGGATGAAATATACTTCTCCCATGGGCAAAGAAACTCAAAAGGGGTGAAGATATTAATTAACAGTAATTTGTCCAAACAGATCCGCAAGGTAGATGGATTATTTTAAATATGTTATTGGACCATAAACAGATATGGCTCATTAACCTTTACGGACCAAATAATGATGATCCACACTTCTTTGACAATATATATAATAAATTATCAACCCTGCAAGCAATACAAGACTATATTATTATGGTGGGAGATTATAATACTGTTTTAAATAGCTCAATGGACCGTAAAGGAAATCACACTACAAACTATCACCCTCATGCTCTTAAGGAAATCGTGAATGTCATGGATACATTAGAACTAGTAGATATATGGAGGCTTAAATATCCTGATCTAGTGAGATATACATGGCGGAGACTCAATCAAGCTAGTCGTCTTGACTTCTTTCTTATGTCATTCTCGTTGGCACCAAAAGTTTAAAAAGTGTTGATAAGGGACAGAATGCGGTCGCACCATCATATAATTGGCATATATATGATAACTTGTTTTTAACTAGGACAGAGGAATTTATAACTGATTTTTTCCGACATAACATAGGTACAGCAAATCCCCTTATTGTATGGGACACTTTTAAATGTTCCTTTAGAGGCCATGCAATTCAGTACTCATCTCAAAAACAAAAGCAATTTAGGTCAAAAGACTCCATACTAACAAAGGAAATAGAAGGTCTAACAGAACAGATAGATAGCAATAAAACCTGTAACATAGAGGCTCAGAATAAATTAGAGGAAAAACAAAAATAAATGGCGAAACTTATTCAAGAAAGATTAAGTGTAATATATTATAAAAATAAAGCAAACTGGATGGAATATGGGGAAAAATGCACCAAATTATCTTCAACATAGGAATGCTACCGAAAAGAATTTACTGAAACTGGTTACAAATGACAGAGTCACCCATGATTCACCAAACCTGGGGCGGCAGGTAGCTTAGTGGGTAAGAGCGTTGTGCCAGTAACCGAAAGGTCGCTGGTTCTAATCCCCGAGCCGACTAGGTGAAAAATCTGTCGATGTGCCCTTAAGCAAGGCACTTAACCCTAATTGCTCCTGTAAGTCGCTCTGGATAAGAGCGTCTGCTAAATGACAAAACATAAATGATATTTTGAAGGAGGAAATAAAGTACTTTAAGCATATGTTTTCGTTTCAGTCGCCTCCATCTCCTCTAACTGAAGCAAATTGTAGAGATTTTTTTTCTATTGATAATGTAAAATTAACAGCCATACAGAAAGACACATGTGAAGGTGAAATTACAGAGGAGGAACTTCTGGATGCAATTAAAGACTTTAAGTCTGGGAAAACTCCAGGGTTGGATGGCATACCAGTCAAGGTATACCAAACCTTTTTTGACATACTCAGAAGACCGTTATTAGCATGTTTTAACCACTCCTATGTAAATGGTAGATTATCAGACACTCAAGAAGAAGGTCTGATTTCATTATTACTGAAACAGGATACAAGTGGGAAATATAAAGATCCAGTCCATTAAAAAAAATGGAGGCCCCTTACACTTCAGTGTTGTGAAGCAAAAATTCTAGCAAAATGTATAGCGCATAGAATTAAAAAGGTATTGTCGGACATTATTCATTCTAATCAGACAGGTTTTTTACATGGGCGATACATTGGAGATAATATAAGGCAAGTACTGGAAACAATAGAACACTATGAAAAATCTGGGAAACCAGGCCTACTATTCATAGCAGACGTCGAAAAGGCATTTGATAAAGTACGACTGGGGTTTATATATAAATGCCTGGAGCATTTCAATTTCGGAGAATCTCTTATAAAATGGGTTAAAATCATGTATAGTAACCCTAGGTGTAAAATAGTAAATAATGGCTATTTCTCCAAAAGTTTTAAACTGTCAAGAGGAGTGAAACAAGGTTGTCCACTATCGGCACATCTATTTATTATGGCCATCGAAATGTTAGCTATTAAAATCAGATCCAACAATAATATAAAGGGATTAGAAATCCAGGGCTTAAAAACAAAGGTGTCATTGTACGCTGATGATTCATGTTTTCTGTTAAATCCACATTTTACACTTTAGTCATTTAGCAGACGCTCTTATCCAGAGCGACTTACAGTTGGTGAGTGCATATATTTTCATACTGCCCCCCGTGGGAAACGAACCCACAACCCTGGCATTGAAAGCAGCATGCTCTACCAACTGAGCTACAGGGGACTACAGTGGGGGAAAAAAGTATTTAGTCAGCCACCAATTGTGCAAGTTCTCCCACTTAAAAAGATGAGAGGCCTGTAATTTTCATCATAGGTACACGTCAACTATGACAGACAAAATGAGAAAAAAAATCCAGAAAATCACATTGTAGGATTTTTAATGAATTTATTTGCAAATTATGGTGGAAAATAAGTATTTGGTCAATAACAAAAGTTTCTCAATACTTTTTTATATACCCTTTGTTGGCAATGACACAGGTCAAACGTTCTCTGTAAGTCTTCACAAGGTTTTCACACACTGTTGCTGGTATTTTGGCCCATTCCTCCATGCAGATCTCCTCTAGAGCAGTGATGTTTTGGGGCTGTCGCTGGGCAACACAGACTTTCAACTCCCTCCAAGGATGTTCTATGGGGTTGAGATCTGGAGACTGGATAGGCCACTCCAGGACCTTGAAATGCTTCTTACGAAGCCACTCCTTCGTTGCCCGGGCGGTGTGTTTGGAATCATTGTCATGCTGAAAGACCCAGCCATGTTTCATCTTCAATGCCCTTGCTGATGGAAGGAGGTTTTCACTCAAAATCTCACGATACATGGCCCCATTCATTCTTTCCTTTACACGGATCAGTCGTCCTGGTCCCTTTGCAGAAAAACAGCCCCAAAGCATGATGTTTCCACCCCCATGCTTCACCGTAGGTATGGTGTTCTTTGGATGCAACTCAGCATTATTTGTCCTCCAAACACGACGAGTTGAGTTTTTACCAAAAAGTTCTATTTTGGTTTCATCTGACCATATGACATTCTCCCAATCCTCTTCTGGATCATTCAAAGACACTCTAGCAAACTTCAGACGGGCCTGGACATGTACTGGCTTAAGCAGGGGGACACGTCTGGCACTGCAGGATTTGAGTCCCTGGCGGCGTAGTGTGTTACTGATGGTAGGCTTCCTTACTTTGGTCCCAGCTCTCTGCAGGTCATTCACTAGGTCCCCCCGTGTGGTTCTGGGATTTTTGCTCACCGTTCTTGTGATCATTTTGACCCCACGGGGTGAGATCTTGCGTGGAGCCCCAGATCGAGGGAGATTATCAGTGGTCTTGTATGTCTTCCATTTCCTAATAATTGCTCCCACAGTTGATTTCTTCAAACCAAGCTGCTTACCTATTGTAGATTCAGTCTTCCCAGCCTGTTGCAGGTCTACAATTTTGTTTCTGGTGTCCTTTGACAGCTCTTTGGCCTTGGCCATAGTGGAGTTTGAAGTGTGACTGTTTGAGGTTGTGGACAGGTGTCTTTTATACTGATAACAAGTTCAAACAGGTGCCATTAATACAGGTAACGAGTGGAGGACATAGGAGCCTCTTAAAGAAGAAGTTACAGGTCTGTGAGAGCCAGAAATCCTGCTTGTTTGTAGGTGACCAAATACCTATTTTCCACCATAATTTGCAAATATAATCATAAAAAATCCTACAATGTGATTTTCTGGAGAAAAAATTTCTCAATTTGTCTGTCATAGTTGACGTGTACCTATGATGAAAATTACAGGTCTCTCTCATCTTTTTAAGTGGGAGAACTTGCACAATTGGTGGCTGACTAAATACTTTTTTCCCCCACTGTATATCCACAACTTGAATCCCTCCACAGCCTCATAGAGGATCTAGATACATTTTCTAACCTCTCTGGATTACAACCAAATTATGCTAAATGTACTATATTATGTATTGGATCACCAACAATTTTTACATTACCATGTAGTTTACCAATAAAATGGTCTGATGGTGATGTGGATATACTCGGAATACATATCCCAAATGAAATAAATGATCTCACTCCAATACATTTTAATAGAAAGTTAGCAAAAATAGATAAGATCGTGCTACCATGGAAAGGTAAATACCTGTCAATTTGTGGAAAAATCACCCTGATTAACTCTTTAGTATTATCCCAGTTTACCTATTTGCTTATGGTCTTGCCTACGCCTAGCGAACAGTTTTTTAAATTATATGAGAAAAAAATATTCCATTTTATTTGGAACGGCAAGCCAGACAAAATTAAACATGCCTATTTATATAATGAATATGAATTCGGAGGACAGAAATGATTAAATATTAAAGCATTAGACCTATCACTAAAAGCTTCAGTCATACAAACGTTATACTTAAATCCGAACTGGTTCTCTAGCAAATTAGTAAGATTGTCTCACCCAATGTTCAAGAATTGACTTTTTCCCTTTATTCAGATTACAACCACTCACTTTAAGTTATTTGAAAAGGAAATAATCTCCCAAATATCACTATTTCTAAGGTATACCAGGTTAATTTAAGGACCAAAGGATTGACAGCCGTCCCATATAGATTGCAAAATAGTTGGGAAGAGATTTTTGATGTACCGATGCCATGGCATAGTGTTTATGAACTGATACGCAAAACGACGTCGGATTCAAAACTTTTCAATTTAAATTATTATACAAAATTATTGCTACCAGTAGAATGTTATTTATATGGGTGATACAATCATCCCAAATCTGCAGATTTTGCTGCTAAGAGACAGAATCATTAGATCATTTGTTTTGGTACTGTCCATTTGTAGCTTGTTTTTGGACACAGGTCTAGGAATGGCTAAAGGATTGCAATATTTACCTGGAGCTAACCCTGCAGATAGCACTACTGGGTGATCTGAAAAGTCAAGGTCAATCGATCAATAATATAATAATACTTTTAGCAAAAATGTTTATTTTCAATTTACAATCTGTAGAAACAATGAGAATAGAAGGGTTCAGAACTTTTGTGAAACATCACAGTACAGTTGAAAAATGAATGGCAAATAGAAATCCAATATGGATGGTGTTAAGAGATAGATAGGTGGTGTTGAATGGAGTTGAAGGATGGGACTAATAACAACTAACAACAACTAATATCAACAAGATAACTAATGTAAAGCATACTGTGTCCATAATACGTTTATAGGTTATAGGTTGAAAGGTTTTGTGAAAGAGCACAGTTAGAAAGATATGGCATATAGAAGCAAACCGGATGGACATCATGAAAATGATCGGAGAGGTTGAGGGTAGAGGAAGTTCAGGAGTAAAAATAAACAAAATAGAATTATTGTAAAATTGACTGTGTCCATAAAATGTATATAGTATGTACAGTGGGGAGAACAAGTATTTGATACACTGCCGATTTTTCAGGTTTTCCTACTTACAAAGCATGTAGAGGTCTGTAATTTTTATCATAGGTACACTTCAACTGTGAGAGACAGAATCTAAAACAAAAATCCAGAAAATCACATTGTATGATTTTTAAGTAATTAATTTGCATTTTATTGCATGACATAAGTATTTGATACATCAGAAAAGCAGAACTTAATATTTGGTACAGAAACCTTTGTTTGCAATTACAGAGATCAGACGTTCCCTGTAGGTCTTGACCAGGTTTGCACACACTGCAGCAGGGATTTTGGCCCACTCCTCCATACAGACCTTCTCCAGATCCTTCAGGTTTCGGGGCTGTCGCTGGGCAATACGGACTTTCAGCTCCCTCCAAAGATTTTCTATTGGGTTCAGGTCTGGAGACTGGCTAGGCCACTCCAGGACCTTGAGGTGCTTCTTACGGAGCCACTCCTTAGTTGCCCTGGCTGTGTGTTTCGGGTCGTTGTCATGCTGGAAGACCCAGCCATGACCCATCTTCAATGCTCTTACTGAGGGAAGGAGGTTGTTGGCCAAGATCTCGCAATACATGGCCCCATCCATCCTCCCCTCAATACGGTGCAGTAGTCCTGTCCCCTTTGCAGAAAAGCATCCCCAAAGAATGATGTTTCCACCTCCATGCTTCACGGTTGGGATGGTGTTCTTGGGGTTGTTCTCATCTTTCTTCTTCCTCCAAACACGGCGAGTGGAGGTTAGACCAAAAAGCTCAATTTTTGTCTTATCAGACCACATGACCTTCTCCCATTCCTCCTCTGGATCATCCAGATGGTCATTGGCAAACTTCAGACAGGCCTGGACATGCGCTGGCTTGAGCAGGGGGACCTTGCGTGCGCTGCAGGATTTTAATCCATGACGACGTAGTGTGTTACTAATGGTTTTCTTTGAGACTGTGGTCCCAGCTCTCTTCAGGTCATTGACCAGGTCCTGCCGTGTAGTTCTGGGCTGATCCCTCACCTTCGTCATGATCGTTGATGCCCCACGAGGTGAGATCTTGCATGGAGCCCCAGACCGAGGGTGATTGACCGTCATCTTGAACTTCTTCCATTTTCTTATAATTGCGCCAACAGTTGTTGCCTTCACACCAAGCTGCTTGCCTATTGTCCTGTAGCCCATCCCAGCCTTGTGCAGGTCTACAATTTTATCCCTGATGTCCTTACACAGCTCTCTGGTCTTGGCCATTGTGGAGAGGTTGGAGTCTGTTTGATTGAGTGTGTGGACAGGTGTCTTTTATACAGGTAATGAGTTCAAACAGGTGCAGTTAATACAGGTAATGAGTGGAGAACAGGAGGGCTTCTTAAAGAAAAATGAACAGGTCTGTGAGAGCCGGAATTCTTACTGGTTGGTAGGTGATCAAATACTTATGTCATGCAATAAAATGCAAATTAATTACTTAAAAATCATACAATGTGATTTTCTGGATTTTTGTTTTAGATTCCGTCTCTCACAGTTGAAGTGTACCTATGATACAAATTACAGACCTCTACATGCTTTGTAAGTAGGAAAACCTGCAAAATCGTCAGTGTATCAAATACTTGTTCTCCCCACTGTATATATATATATATATATATATATATATATATATATATATATTTGTGAGAAAAAACTAACATAAGTGGGATTGGAAGTGATGCAGACAATTACATTGATGGAAGTTACAATCTATCTGCAATATTAAAGCTGATCTACCCCCTAACAAAAACATTTATCTTTAAAATAAATACACGGAGTACAGACAGTTTGGCTAAAGACTCTCCAGTTGGTTGTTTGAGAAGTGACATCATCTCTACGTCAACAGAGGACCACACCACTCTGAGGTTTACAGTCCACCATGGACTAAAACTGATCCTGCCTCAAGCCATACTGGATCTGAAACTGTCACACAATGATATGCCACTGCCACACAAGGCCCCCAGTCGCCAGAGATCTGTGCCAACCTACAGCGGGCCACACACTGAGTATGTATTTCTGTTTTTCTGTGTTAAGTGGAAAAATATTGCTTGATTGATGTCAAACGGTTATTCCAGTATTTGGAGACAGACACCTGTATGTAAATATATACTTGTTTTATGTGTGATCTGTCTTTTTCTAGCCACCCAGTGTTGGACGCACATCAGAAACACCAACATTACAGGTGAGTGCTGTCTTGTCTGTGTTTCATCTTATGCATAGCACAAGGGGATGCAATCGCTCCACTGACAACCCAGACAGACACCATACAGCAGCAGGAGGGGGAATATTCTTTAAACCTCTAAATTAGTTACTTGTCTGATTTGTTTTAGAGAATGCCAAAATTATTAGTCAAATTGATTGGCATTGTTGTTGTTGTAGTTTCCACCCGCTACCAGCAGAGAGCAGCATAAGCCAAGACGGATCCTCTCTCTGATCAGTGAGGACAACTGGAGCAGCCAGTTGCGTTGAATAAACAATACTAATTTACTCATGCATTAGATCTTCTTATTGATTTTTTTCTAAAATGCTAAAATCACAAAGATATTGGCACTTATATTTGCTAATTTGTTACAGACCATTTTTATGAAGGAAACAACAGAGCAACCAATACAATATTTCTGTAACCCTTGTAAGATCATATTTTTAAAGGCAGAGTTAATAACCAGTAAATGGTTTGCTCTGCTCTCCTCCTAGGCTGTGCTTCTAAAAAACAAATATTTGGGGGTTAGCTCAAAGCTGTTAAGTCAGGCACTTAAATGAGAATCGAGACTCAACATTGGTATTCCTCCTGCTAACAGAAAGGGTACAGTAATTGGCTAATTTCAGCTCTAACGTGCCATAAAAGCCCTTACTATCCCTTTTAATTAAGCCTCAGTGAAAAGCCTTGCTTTGCAACAATAAAAACGATGTCAAATCAGTATGTAGAACAATGCTGTACATGTCAGAAAATTGATCTACACAGTAGTTTGAATTAAAAAGTTTCCAACAGGGGAATAACTAGGACAGGCCAGTAGAAAATGGTTATTGTGTGTGGTCTGGGCTCATTCTAAATTACCTCCTTTGTTACCACTGTAGAAAAGCAATTAAAACAGAGGGGGGATTTGTGTGTTTCTATTCTCCAGGAAACTGTCAGCTGCGCTGTCTTACTTTTAATTTTTTTTTTAGAAGGAATCAAATTCCTCATGCCCACTCTGCTTAAATATTAGGGCAGGCAAATTTACATTGTACCTTGGAGTGAATTAAGGTCTGAGAGGAGGAAAATGTTCGGCTGGGGACGAACAAAGGCACTGCCTGCACTAATTATTGGCGATGGAAATCCTGTTTTTGCGCGTTATTGTGACAGAGAATATGAGTCTATCTGATACCTTGTCAGAGTTATTAAAAATGACGGTCTGCACAGTGTGAATCTGAATGCAGCCTTAGGCCCTGTTTTTATTATGGATTGTGAAGTTAGTCTTTTCTTTCACTCCCTCACATTACACTTTCAAGTGGCGCTGCTGCTGTTATTGTTCAGTTTCTTTGTTTGTTCTCTGCCTAGAATATAAGAACATAAAAATGTAGAATATATTCTGTTAAATACACTTATTAACATTTGGAATTGATTAGTGACACTTGTGGTTTTAACTGTGCATTTTAAATCATCAAAGGTTAACACTATCATTACAGTATTTACAAATGTGGACTTCAACCTTAATAATACTGAAATGTTCAGAATGAGTACACGCCACAGTATATTTCTATAAAGATCTCTACACATTGAGTGTTTCATGTGCGATCTCTTGCCTCACCTCAGTCAGTCTGCCATGCAACCCCCTTTTATTTCCTCTTCTCAGCTAAATGTCAGCAGTCTCCAGTTTGTAGTCTTGGTGAGAGAGAGCGAAGGGGGGGAATAGAGAGGGAGGTGGAGAGAGAAGGAGAGTGAGAGAGAAGGAGACCTGCCAGAGGCATTAGACAGTGAACGGCTAATTTCCCTAAAACACACTTTTAATTAAACAAATGGCCATGGAGAGGGGAGAGGAAAATATAAATGGTGGGAGACTGTCGTAGAATTTCCTGTGTGTGGAGGAGTTCATTAATATTTCCAGACCCTGCGGTGTTTCCAGACCTTATTATTGGCAGCCTCCCAAATTGCACAGTATTCCCTATATAGTGCACTACTTTTGACCAGAGCCATATGAGCCCTGGTCAAAACTAGTGCACTACAAACGGAATAGGGTGCCATTTGGAATGTGGCCATTGTCTCTGGTTCCACTCACCAGCACTACCAGAAACCAGGCTGTTATGGTCTTTAGTACTAACAGTAATGAGGGTGCTGTGGCCCCTGTAGAATGGTTACACAGTAGCAGGGGCTGCTGGTATAGCCCTGGCCCCAATGTCGGCCTACTTGACCCTGGTAAATGGCGGTGGTGGTGCTGACATGCGCAGGACCAAGATACTAGGTAGCACCTGTTTAACTCACTCTGTCGTTATCAGCTATTACCTGGTTAGATTGAGTGTCAAATCCAATCTGTTGTGTTTAAAATTTTAGATGTGGCGTTGAGGCTGCCTTGAGTTTGTCTCTCTTCAGACCCAGTCATATGCTTCATTAAACACATTAGGATGCAAGGTGGAGGAGGCAAGCTACACATGCACGCACAAAACGTCTTAATAGTGTTCTGTGGACTAGAGTTATAAGGCTGTAAATACACTCTTAGAAAAAAGGGTTCCAAAAGGGATATTTGCTGAGGGGATAGGGTTCTACCAATAACTGTTTTCATCTGAAGAACCCTTTTTGGAAGACAAGGGTTCTTCATAAGGCAAAGAGTTCTACCTATAACTTTTTTCATCCTAAGAAAAGTTTTTAGAAGAAAGGGTGCTGATGATTATTTGGAATGCAAGAAAGATTATTTGGAAGGCAAGAATTATATATAGAACCCTTCTGAATCTGAATAAGTTATTTTTTTTGGGGGGTGGGTTCTTCCTTTAAATAGTGCCTGAGCATTAGTGTTTAACTCAGTGTTTAAAGAGCAACTGCCCCCTAAAACCCAACTTCTCATTTAAAAAACAGCCTGTGGCATCGATATGAGTCAGAAACATTTATTATACTGTCAAAATTGACTACAAAGTGTAAATATGATAATTTTGGTCATAAAGTCAGTCTCGTCCAAAACAGAGTTTTGTGAGACTTGTGGTAGTGACCCCCTCACAATGTACAGTGCCTTCGGAAAGTATTCAGACCCCATTTTGTTAGGTTACAGCCTTATTAAATATTTTTCCCCCTCATCAATGTACACACAATACCTCATAATGACAAAACAAAAACTGGTTTTTATACATTTTTGCTAATTTATCAAATAAAATAAACGAAATATCACATTTACATAAGTATTCAGACCCTTTACTCAGTACTTTGTTGAAGCACCTTTGGCAGCAATTACAGCCTCAAGTCTTCTTGGGTATAATGCTACAAGCTTGGCACACCTGTATTTGGGGAGTTTCTCCCATTCTTCTCTGCAGATCCTCTCAAGCTCTGTCAGGTTGGATGGGGAGCGTTGCTGCACAGCTATTTTGAGTGTCCTGTTGGAAGGTGAACCTTTGCCTCAGTCTGCGGTCCTGAGCGCTCTGGAGCACATTTTCATCAAGGATCTCTCTGTACTTTGCTCCGTTCATCTTTGCCTCGATCCTGACTAGTCTCCCAGTCCCTGCCACTGAAAAACACCCCCACAGCATGATGCTGCCACCACCATGCTTCACCGTAGGGATGGTGCCAGGTTTCCTCCAGACATGACGCTTGGCGTTCAGGCCAAAGAGTTGAATCTTGGTTTCATCAGACCAGAGAATATTTTTTCTCATGGTTTGAGAGTCTTTAGGTGCCTTTTGGCAAACTCCAAGCAGGCTGTCATGTACCTTTTACTGAGGAGTGGCTTCAGTCTGGCCTGATTGGTGGAGTGCTGCAGCGATGGTTGTCCTTCTGGAAGGTTCTCTCATCTCCACAGAGGAACCATCGGGTTCTTGGTCACCTCTCTGACCAAGGCCCTTCTCCCCCGATTGCTCAGTTTGGCTGGGCGGCCAGCTCTACGAAGAGTCTTGGTGGTTCCAAACTTCTTCCATTTAAGAATGATGGAGGCCACTGTGTTCTTGGGGACCTTCGATGCTGCAGACATTTTTTGGTACCCTTCCCCAGATCTGTGCCTCGACGCAATCCTGTCTCAGAGCTCTACGGACAATTCCTTTGACCTCATGGCTTGGTTTTTGCTCTGACATGCACTATCAACTGTGGGACCTTTATATAGACAGGTGTGTGCCTTTCCAAATCATGTCCAATCAATTGAATTTACCACAGGTGGACTCCAATCAAGTTGTAGAAACATCTCAAGGATGATCAATGAAAACAGGATGCACCGGAGCTCAATTTCGAGTCTCATAGCAAAGGGTCTGAATACCTATGTAAATAAGGTATTTGTTTTTAAATTGTAATACATTTGTAAACATTTCTAAAAACCTGTTTTTCGCTTTGTCATTATGGGGTATTGTGTGTAGATTGCTGAGGATTTCTTTTTTATCTAATCCATTTTAGAACAAGGCTGTAACGTAACAAAATGTGGGAAAGGTCAATGTGTCTGAATACTTTCCGAAGGCACTGTAAATGAAGGTTGGGTTTGTTTCAGTCCTTCCCACATACCCACAGCTGGCAGCACACAAGTAATCATACATTTGGAGTCCAGCTATCCCGGAGTGGGATAGCGGGAGTAGACGTAACACTAATTAGCCCCAGAGATGGGCTATCTGAAGTTAAACCAACTTTGCCATGTTTGCACAACAGCCGGCTGAAGCTAATTGGCTAAATAATTTGGCTAACTCTTCCCACCTGCGAACACACACGAGACACCCACATCAAACCACACCCTGAAACCAACTCACGTTTTGAATTCAGTCATGGCAGCTAGCATTTCTTAATGAACCAAATCTAAAACGAGGACAAATCAGGAAGCTCAGTTGGCCTTTTAACTTTAAAGGTCCTGAACAGTCAAAATCATGTTTTTCATGAAATTGGATGGTATTTGGATGAAACCAGATCAAAGAAGGATGACTGAAAAATTACTGTTGCTTCTACATTGATAAAGTTTGATCATAAAGTTCGGTCTTCAGTTAGTCTGGAACAAAAGCGGGTGAAGGGTTTCCCAAAACTCTGTCGCAGTTGTCATGTCATTACATCAAGAGACATGCCAAACAGGAGATTTATACAAACTTCTTGACATCATTGATATTTATGATATACACTATACAGTATATACTCGGGGGGTGCAGATCAATATTAGGAGGGTGCTCCTAATGTTTGGTATACTCAGTGTATGAACATTGTCTGGCAGTCAGTATATATATTTATTGAAATATACGTAGACCTCACCCTGTAAAGTTTCAACTGAAATTGTCCAAGATGAACTAGCTAGCATAGGCGGCATGTCCATAAGGCTTCCCTCTAAAGTAAATTGAATTAAATTGCCAAAATGATATGGCCTAATTAGCCGACTCCTGTCTATACAGTAATAAATACAATAATTCAAAATAGCTACTAAACCAGAAAGCAGGATTTGGCCACAGAGGATCATTAGCTTAAAAAAAGTGTGGATTGTTTTAAATCTCATTGTCTACAGTCGGAAAGGCCTGCAATTTGGGCAGCGCGCACGGCAAATACCAAATATACTCAACAAAAATATAAACACAACATGTAAAGTGTTTCCCATGTTTCATGAGCTGAAATAAAATATCCCAGAAATGTTCAATACACACAAAAAGCATTTCTCCTTTGCCAAGATAATCCATCCACCTGAAAGGTGTGGCATATCAAGAAGCTGATTAAACAGCGTGATTATTACACAGGTACACCATGTGCTGGGGACAATAAAAGGCCACTCGAAAATGTGCAGTTTTGTCACACAACACAATGGCACAGATGTCTCAAGTTCAACCAAATGATTTCTTCACAAACTGTCAGAAACTGTCTCAGGGAAGCTCATCTGCGTGCTTGTCATTCTCACCAGGGTCTTGACCTGACTGCAGTTCGAAGTCGTATCCGACTTCAGTGGTCAAATGCTCACCTTCGATGGCCACTGGCATGCTGGAGAAGTGTGCTCTTCACGGATGAATCCCAGTTTCAACTGTACGAGGCAGATGGCAGACAGCGTGTATGGCGTTGTGTGGGGAGCGGTTTGCTGATGTCAACGTTGTGAACAGAGTGCCCCATGGTGGCGGTGGGGTTATGGTATGGGCAGGCATAAGCTACGGACAACGAACACAATTGCATTTTATCGATGAGACTTTGAATGCACAGAGATACCGTGATGAGATCCTGTGGCCCATTGCCGTGCCATTCATTCACCGCCATCACCTCATGTTTCAGCATGATAATGCACGGCCACATGTCGCAAGAATCTGTACACAATTCCTGGAAGCTGAAAATGTCCCAGTTCTTCCATGGCCTTCATACTTACCACCAGACGTGTGGGATGCTCTGGATTGACGTGTACGACAGCGTGTTCCAGTTCCCGCCAATATCCAGCAACATCGCACAGCCATTGAAGAGGAGTGGGACAACATTCCACAAGCCACAATCAACAGCCTGATCTACTCTATGCAAAGGAGATATGTTGCGCTGCATGAGGCAAATGGTGGTCACTCCAGATACTGACTGGTTTTCAGATCCACGCCCCTACCTTTTTTTAAGGTATCTGTGACCAGCAGATGCATATCTGTATTCCCAGTCATGTGAAATCCATAGATAAGGGCCTAATTAACTTATTTCAATTGACTAATTTCCTTATATGAACTTGAAATTGTTGCATGTTGTGTTTATATTTTTGTTCAGTGTAGATTGTTGAGTTGTGAGTCGCAATATTTCAAAATACAATCGCGGGAAAACATAGTTTGGAAAGCAAATGGCTATTACTGTAAAGAGAAGACAATGAAAATACTCTGTCTTTTAGTTATCAAAATTCTCAACTTAATTGAGTGAACAGTGTAGCCTATCTTATTGGCACCAGTGGAGAGCATCAGCCCAGCCCGGTGAGTGCGCATATTCACTCTTTATCATTGTTGGGTCAGTGCCACTTTAAATTATGTTTTTGGACAATAATTTCCTCCTCCAGGTTAGATGGATGTCATATTTTATTTGTCTCACCTTCTTGTAGGCCTATTATATGGATCAAACAACGTCATTTGTATTGATATGTTTGTTGATAGTTATATTATTAGCCTAAATTATGATTATACAAGCTACTCATCATATTAGGAATAGTAGGCTGTCTTACATAAGTCTTCAAATGCGATGATGCATGTAATGCTTTATTATAAAGCTGCATTCTTATGGTGAAAATGTGCTTCCCCAAACTTGAAACTGACACGCTGCCTATGCTAGCTAGCTTGATAAACAGTGCTGACAATTCCATTTGGGGTAGCTAGCTAAATTATACAGCCAACATATTGTCTATATTGATGCTGTTACAATAACCCAGCAGTTGGATAAACAAATCATTTTTTAAATCAATAATTTATGTACAGTGAGGGAAAAAATCCCCTGCTGATTTTGTACGTTTGCCCACTGACAAAGAAATGATCAGTCTATAATTTTAATGGTAGGTTTACTTGAACAGTGAGAGACAGAATAACAACACAAAAATCCAGAAAAATTTTTATAAATTGATTTGCATGAGGGAAATAAGTATTTGACCCCTCTGCAAAACATGACTTAGTACTTGGTGGCAAAACCCTTGTTGGCAATCACAGAGGTCAGACATTTCTTGTAGTTGGCCACCAGGTTTGCACACATCTCAGGAGGGACTTTGTCCCACTTCTCTTTGCAGATTTTCTCCAAGTCATAAAGGTTTCGAGGCTGACGTTTGGCAACTCGAACCTTCAGCTCCCTCCACTGATTTTCTATGGGATTAAGGTCTGGAGACTGGCTAGGCCACTCCAGGACCTTAATGTGCTTCTTCTTGATCCACTCCTTTGTTGCCTCAGCCGTGTGTTTTGGGTCATTGTCATGCTGGAATACCCATCCACAACCCATTTCCAGGGAAGGGAAGGAGGTTCTCACCCAAGATTTGACGGTACATGGCCCCGTCCATCGTCCCTTTGATGCGGAGAAGTTGTCCTGTCCCCTTAGCAGAAAAACACCCCCAAAGCATAATGTTTCCATGTTTGACGGTGGGGATGGTGTTCTTGGGGTCATAGGCAGCATTCCTCCTCCTCCAAACACGGCGAGTTGAGTTGATTCCAAAGAGCTCGATTTTGGTCTCATCTGACCACAACACTTTCACCCAGTTCTCCTCTGAATCATTCAGATGTTCATTGGCAAACTTCAGATGGGCCTGTATATGTGCTTTCTTGAGCAGTGGGACCTTGTTGGCATTGCAGGATTTCAGTCCTTCACGGCGTAGTGTGTTACCAATTGTTTTCTTGGTAACTATGGTCCCAGCTGCCTTGAGATCATTGACAAGATCCTCCCGTGTAGTTCTGGGCTGATTCCTCACCGTTCTCATGATCATTGCAACTCCACGAGGTGAGATCTTGCATGGAGCCCCAGGCCGAGGGAGATTGACAGGTCTTTTGTGTTTCTTCCATTTGCGAATAATCGCACCAACTGTTGTCACCTTCTCACCAAGCTGCTTGGCGATGGTCTTGTAGCCCATTCCAGCCTTGTGTAGGTCTACAATCTTGTCCCTGACATCCTTGGAGAGCTCTTTGGTCTTGGCCATGGTGGAGAGTTTGGAATCTGATTGATTGCTTCTGTGGACAGGTGTCTTTTATACAGATAACAAGATGAGATTAGGAGCACTCCCTTTAAGAGTGTGCTCCTAATCTCAGCTCGTTACCTGTATAAAAGACAACTGGGAGCCAGAAATCTTTCTGATTGAGAGGGGGTCAAATACTTATTTCCCTCATTAAAATGCAAATCAATTAATAACATTTTTGACATGCGTTTTTCTGGATTTGTTTGTTGTTATTCTGTCTCTCACTGTTCAAATAAACCTACCATTAAAATTATAGACTGATCATTTCTTAGTCAGTTGGCAAACGTACAAAATCAGCAGGGGATCAAATACTTTTTTCCCTCACTGTAATTGGATGTTGCACGCAATTTCAACATTGTTTGAATCGCTTTGTTTATCAGAAAATGTGCTTGATATAATCTCACTGCAACACTGCTCACAGCGTGCATGTTGCTTGACATACAGTAGGTGTTTTCAAAGAACTGTCAGTCAAGGTGAGCTCCCCGCCCACTCAGCGTACTAGCTCCCCGCCAACTCAGTCTGTCTTTTCAGACGTCCTCGTAGTTTGACATGAGAGAAAAAGTAATAATGGGTAAACATTTTTTATTGTGGGTGATGTTTTAGTCACTCAAAAGTCTATTTTAGGTGGGAATCAGAATGACTCTTTGGGACTTTTGACCTTTTAACATCAGGAGTTTGAGTAATCTGATAAGTTTAGAAAGATGGGTGTGAGAATGTTTTAAACTGTACCTTAATGGGAATATGTGTGCATGTATCTGGTATTCCTTTAATCATTTTACATATACAGTACTGACATAGTTTATATCTTTGACATGATTTCTGTCTTTCCAATAAGTATTTTCTGTGATTTTATTGAGCAGAGAGTAGGGGGATAGAAGGGAGTATGCGTGAACCAGCAGTGTATTGTGTGGTACACAGCCAATTGGCCAGTTTTACCTGTTGATGTTTCAGTGTAACATTTCTAGTGTTCACTCAGTGGTGTAAAATAACCCTAGTGTTGTTGTTAATAACCAGAGTTGTGTGTGAGATGATTGGTCCCGTGTGGCTCAGTTGTAGAACTTGGCACTTGCAACACCAGGGTTGTGGGTTTGATTCCTATGGGAGACCAGTACGAACACTTATGAATCTGTATGCACTCACTACTGTAAGTCCCTCTGGATAAGAGCGTCTGCTAAATTACGAAAATGTTTTTATTTATTTTTATGGTCGTCCCATTAATCTATCTTCCCTACTCTGGCAGTCATTCTGAATGCAGGTTGTGGGTGATTAAAGGTTCTAATTGTTGTATAATCCAGCATAATGTGATTTGATGGCCTGATGCGGCCTGTAAACCAGGAGTTTCATAACACCACTGTGTTAGGGTATAGGTAGGCCCATGAAGAAAGGCCTTATGATATATGTAATGTTTTGTCATAAAGAGTTTAATTGTAAAGGCTAATAAGGCTGGTGGAACCGTTCATATAGGTTTCTAGGAAGAACCCTTCAAAGATAAAAGGGTTCTCGGTAGAACCCTTCATAGAGAGACTCCCGAGTGGCGCAGTGGTCTAAGGCACTGCATCGCAGTGCTAGCTGTGCCACTAGAGATCCTGGTTTGAATCCAGGCTCTGTCGTAGCCGGCCGCGACCGGGAGACCCATGGGGCGGTGCACAAGTCGTCCAGGGTAGGGGAGGGAATGGCCGGCAGGGATGTAGCTCAGTTGGTAGAGCATGGCATTTGCAACGCCAGGGTTGTGGGTTCGATAAAATAATGTATGCGCTAACTGTAAGTCGCTCTGGATAAGAGCGTCTGCTAAATGACTAAAATGTAAATGTAGAGGGTTCTAGGTAGAACCATTTACAGGGGGTTCTATGAAGAACCCTACATAGAGGGTTCAAGGTAGAACCCTCTGCAATGGGTTCTTCCTAGCACCAAAAAGGCTTCCCCTATGGTGACAAACCCTAAATGGTTCTACTATACACCTTTTTTTCTACAAGTGTACTCATTGTGCATTTTGAGGCCTTATGTTACCAACTGAATATTAGGGCCTAAGAATTGTGGACAGTATCTCCAGTCTGGCATCCATCCTAAACTAATTTCTCACTTTGGTTCCAGCCAGGGGCTGTGGAGGCCAGGGGCCAATGGATTGGTCTCCTCCTTACAGCCCTCAGTAGTCAGGTGGCCCTCAGCCATTCCAGTTGTCTGTCGAGTGTCGGCCTCAATCAGTGTCATGCTGGGGCAGGAAGGAAGACAATCGTACCATTTTTAGATGCTACATTGCTTTTAATTGCAGGGTAAATCACATCATATGACAGAGACACTAAGCCAGATCAAGCCTCAACCCTTGTGTTGCATATGTAATAAGCACAGTATATCTCCTAATTAGCTTGTTGTCTTGTTGTCAGTGTGTTGCGGCTTTTGCGGCCGGTCGGGATGGAAGGAAGGAGGAAGGGAAGGAAGGAGGGAGGGACAGCAGCAGGGCTCAGGCAGATGGCTGCACGTGTCCTCGCAGGCACAGCCCTGCAGTGGAGGAGAGGGAGGAAGAGAGGAGGAGGAGAGGGAGGAGAGAGGAAAGGAAGGCCATGTCAGACGCTGCTTCGTCAAGCAGGCGAACAACCCCCAGCATCCCCCCTCCTTCCTCACCTCCCCTCAACAGCCACAGGAGCAGAAGTTAAGAATAGAAGAATCTTGTCACATTGCATGTAAATACATCCCATGTTTAGAGGGGTGATATATACAAGGGCATATTCCCGAAACAAACAACTACCGCCTCGGATCTGGGATCTGTAATCCAGACTGTATTTCCTCTAGTTATTAGTCCCTGTTGGTCAGACCCTGTCACATATCTGTACCTCTTAGAGTTGAGCTCGGGGACCCAAGTTGACATCATCTGTTGTGGGCCGTATTTTGGCCCCCTTGATTAAGCTAATTTCATTACAGTGTGAATACGCTACTGGATGATGTGGAACTCAGATATCCTCCTCAAAAGAATTTCAAAATACTTTGTGCGGTCAAAACATCACATTCAATTTTTCTCTTTTATGTCCCAAGAGTGTGACCAGAATATAGTAATAAAACGAGTAAGACCTTTGTTCCACTGCTGAATAAAATATGTGTTGTGTTATACTGTCTTCTCTAGTCCATTTTGAACTGACCCGGGAAATTCTAAGAAAATATGATTCTGTAGCCTGTCCACTTCCATGTTTATGTGCCCAGGAGATGAACATGCTTTTAAGATCAGGACTAGGGTTTAATCTGGGCCTAGGAAACTGGCCCTGAGTCTTTAAGTGAGAGAGAAATGTAGAAACAGTACAAAAGGCAGTACAGTATAAAACCCTGATTCTAGAGAGGGAAGGCAGCTGTAAAAGCCAGTCTACCTCAAGTGGCCACTCCTAAAACTCATCCACCCTATTAGGGATAGATTATGGCTCCTGAAGAGACTCAGCTTCCCCGAGTCATGGTGTGCGTCTCAAATGACAGCTTATCCCCTATATAGTACCTATGGGCCCTGTATAGGAAATAGGGTGCCATTTGGGACGCAGCCATGGCTAAGATCCTCTTGATGGGGAGAACAAAAGAGAGCAGCGGGCCAGGGAACTTGTCTCCCCTCCCTCCCTCCAGATGTTGAACTTGATTTGAAAAGAAAAGGAGGGATCTGGGGGATTGGAGGAGAGTGTGTGTGTGTGTGTGTGTGTGTGTGTGTGTGTGTGTGTGTGTGTGTGTGTGTGTGTGTGTGTGTGTGTGTGTGTGTGTGTGTGTGTGTGTGTGTGTGTGTGTGTGTGTGTGTGTGTGTGTGTGTGTGTGTGTGTGTGTGTGTGTGTGTGTTTGTGTTGCAGCTATGGAACAGGAAGCGGCCAGCAGGAATTTTTGTGATGCCAAATGGTGAGACAGATAAATCTGGGGATAAAAAAATGTCTACTGTTTGTCAGATCTTGTTGTGGTTGATGAGCCCTTCATAAGAAGGACCCTCTTATTATTATCTTTAAAAATATATATTCCTGATCTCTGTCGACCACAGGAAGCCAACAACTAATGTTATTGTTGTTGTACTACATGTTGTGGAACATGTTGGCTTTGTTTGATTTACACTGCTATATCTATGTTGGCTGTAACTCCATTTGTAGGTGGGGTCCACAGTTTTTGGATCCCTTGATAAAAATGAGCATAAAAGACTGTTTCAAATAAATAATACAAATACTGAGCTATGTTTATTTTTCTAAAATGTTTCATGAGATTGGTGAACACATTGGTATGGATCTTAGACCATTCCTCCATACAGAATCTTTCTAGATCCTTGATATCCTTCGTCTGCGCTTATGGACTGAGAAATAAGTAGTACTGCTAGGTTTTACACAGTCAAATGTTAGAAATAACTACATTTTTTGTAAAGAAATCAAATCAAATTGTGTTGGTCATGTAAACAGATTTGCAGATGTTATTGCAGGTGCAGCAAAATGCTTATGTTTCTTGCTCCAACAGTGCAGTAATATCTAGCAATACAATAACAATACACACATAATCCAAAAAGTAAAACAAATAGAAATTAAGAAATATACACTACCGTTCAAAAGTTTGGGGTCACTTAGAAATGTCCTTGTTTTTTAAAGAAAAGCATTTTTTTTGTCCATTAAAATAACATCAAATTGATCAGAAATACAGTGTAGACATTATTAATGTTGTAAATTCCTATTGTAGATGGAAATGGCAGATTTTTTATGGAATATCTACATAGGCGTACAGAGGCCCATTATCAGCAACCATCAGTCCTGTGTTCCAATGGCACATTGTCTTTGCTAATCATTTTATCATTTTAAAAGGCTAAATTATCATTAGGAAACCCTTTTGCAATAATGTTAGCACAGCTGAAAACTGTTGTGCTGATTAAAGAAGCAATAAAACTGGCCTTCTTGAGACTAGTTGAGAATCTGGAGCATCAGCAATTGTGGGTTCGATTACAGGCTCAAAATGGCCAGAAACAAATAACTTCCTTCTGAAACGTGTCAGTCTATTCTTGTTCTGAGAAATGAAAGGCTATTCCATGCGAGAAATTGCCAAGAAACTGAAGATCTCGTACAACGCTGTGTACTACTCCCTTCACAGAACAGCGCAAACCAGAATAGAAAGAGGAGTGGGAGGCCCTGGTGCACAACTGAGCAAGAGGACAAATACATTAGAGTGTCTAGTTTGAGAAACAGACGCCTCACAGGTCCTCAACTGGCAGCTTCATTAAATAGTACCCGCAAAACACCAGTCTCAACGCCAACAGTGAAGAGCCGACTCCGGGATGCTGACCTTCTAGGCAGAGTTGCAAAGAAAAAGCCATATCTCAGACTGGCCAATAAAAAGAAAAGATTAATATGGGCAAAAGAACACAGACACTGGACAGAGGAAGATTGGATTTTTTTTTATGGACAGACTAATCTAGATTTGAGGTGTTCGGATAACAAAGAATAACATTTGTGAGATGCAGACCAAATTAAAAGATGCTGGAGGAGTGCTTGATGCCATCTGTCAAGCATGGTGGAGGCATTGTGATGGTCTGGGGGTGCTTTGGTGGTGGTAAAGTGGGAGATTTGTACAGGGTTAAAGGGATATTGAAGAAGGAAGGCTATCACTCCATTTTGTAACGCCATGCCATACCCTGTGGATGGCGCTTGATTGGAGCCAATTTCCTCCTACAACAGGACAATGACCCAAAGCACAGTTCCAAACTATGCAATAACTATTGCAGTCAGCTGGTATTCTGTCTATAATGGAGTGGCCATCACAGTCACCGGATCTCAACCCTATTGAGCTGTTGTGGGAGCAGCTTGACCGTAAGAAGTGCCCATCAAGCCAATCCAACTTGTGGGAGGTGCTTCAGGAAGCATGGAGTGAAATTTCTTTAGATTACCTCAACAAATTGACAACTAGAATGCCAAAGGTCTGCAAGGCTGTAATTGCTGCAAATTGAGGATTCTTTGACGAAAGCAAAGTTTGAAGGACACAATTATTATTTCTATTAAAAATAATTATTTCTAACCTTGTCAATGACTACATTTCCTATTCATTTTGCTATATTTCCTATTCAAACTCATTTCATGTATGTTTTCATGGAAAACAAGGACATTTCTAAGTGACCCCAAACTTTTGAATGGTAGTGTATATGTAAGTTGATTATTCAGACAATTTGGAATTTTCAAAGCAGTACTATTAAAAAAATATATATATATTAATGCAGTCAATCTCTCCTCTACTTTGAGCCAAGAGAGACTGACATGCATACTGTTGACATTAGCCCCCTGTGTACATTGAAGGGCAAGACGTGCTGCTCTGTTCTGGGCCAGCTACAGCTTTTCTAGGTCCTTCTTTGTAGCACTTGACCATACACCAGGCAACAGTCAAGATTCAATAAAACTAGAGCCTGCAGGACTTGTTTGGTTGACTGTGGTGTTAAAATGCTGAGCGTCTCTTTATCACAGACAGACCTCTCCCCATCTTTACAACAATTGAATAATATGCATTGACCATGACAATTTACAATCTAAGGTGACACCAAGAAGTTTAGTCTCCTCAACTTGTTCACACTCTAAAAAATGCTGGGTTAAAAACAACCCAATTTGGGTTATTTGGTAACCCAGCACTGGGTAAATATTGGACAGAACCCATGCTGGGTTATTTTGACCCAGCCAGTTGGGTTGAGTGAATAACCCAACATGTTAGGTTATTTTTCCTTAAAACGTTTTGCAGTTTACAGATTTTTATTTTTGTATTTTTTCTTGAGCAGATGGTCGGGGGGCCGGAACATAATTACAAATCATTTGTAGACTGCAAATTGACCGCAAGAAGCCCAAACATTTGACTAAAACATAATAATTTCAAACCTTGCTTATATTTGTATACAATCACGTCTCTCTATTATGCGTGGGAATACTTGGGAACAGATTTCCAAAGTTAAATTCAATTGGAGCTGATTTCCTGGTGTTTTTACAGTCTTTTATGTCCAACAATGAACATTTCTTGGACAAGGTGTTGAAAGCGTTCAACAGGGTTGCTGGCCCATGTTGACTCCAACATGAAACTGTTGAGCGTAAAAAAAAAAACAGCAGCGTTGCAGTTCTTGACACAAACCGGTGCGCCTGGCACCTACTACCATACCCCGTTCATAGGCATTTAAATATTTTGTCTTGCCCATTCGCCCTCTGAATGGCACACATTCACAACCCATGTCTCAATTGTCTCGAGGCTTAAAAATCATTATTTAACCTGTCTCCTCCCCTTCATCTACACTGATTGAAGTGGATTTAACAAGTGACATCAATAAGGGATCATAGCTCTCACCTGGTCAGTCTATGTCATGGAAAGAGCATGTGTTTTGTATATACAGTGTATACAGGATATTAACATTCCATTCCAGCGAAATAATGTATACTAATATACTGTATAGCGTTTTGCAAAAAAACACATTTTCATACATATCTAAAATCGATTAATAAAAAATCTGAGAACAGTAATATTTTACACACACATGAAGGTACCCATAAGCAATCAATTCTCATGAAAAAACACAAATGTGAAAAATTGGTGGATATAGTGTTTTGGAAATAACCTCATCAAGTATTCATTAAGTTATTTCCCTCCTAAAAATTATTATCAGTAATAATAATAATAACAATAATAATAATATAGCCTATAT